TCTCTACAGTCTAGTGGAAAACATCATCTCTACACTCCAGTAGAAAACATCATCACTATACTCTAGTGGAACACATCAAGAGAACACATCATCTCTACAGTCTAGTGGAAACATCATCTCTACACTCCAGTAGAAAACATCATCAATATACTCTAGTAGAACACATCAACAGAACACTCACTACACTCTAGTGGAACACACCATCTCTACCCTCTGGTGGAACACAGCACCTCTACACTCTAGTAGAATACATCATCACTACACTCCAGTAGAAAACATCATCACTATACTCCAGTAGAAAACATCATCACTATACTCTAGTGGAACACATTAACACTACACTCACTAAACTCTAGTGGAACACACAATCTCTACACTCTGGTGGAACACAGCATCTCTACACTCTAGTAGAATACATCATCACTACACTCTAGTAGAACACATCATCTTTACACTCTAGTGGAACACTTCATCACTACACTCTAGTAGAACACATCATCTCTACACTCTAGTGGAATACATCATCTTCACATGTCCTGATACTGGCGGGATGATTGAATAAAAAGTTAGTACATTAAGACCTGTGTGGAGATAAAAGTAATGTATTTAATATTGTATTTTACCTTACCAAATGATATATTACCCTACCTTTTTTTACATAATGAATATGTAGATTGTTCTAAACGATTGTAGTTAGCAGCAAACGTAAGAGTCTTTGGGACAGAGGATAAAATGAACAAATAAGTGAATGTGAATGTTTACTTAAAGCCAAATAATACATGTTGTCTTGTTTATGGAATGAAATGGCCTATCAACTAAATAACTAAATTTCAAACTGCTATAAATTGGGGGAGAAAGTAATTACCTCTTATAATATGCTTTAAATCATACATATTTAGTTCTAATACAAATATTTTTGCGTTTCATTCAATAAGTATCTGCTGTACAAAAAGGCAAAATGTTTATGCGTCCAATATAGTAACTCATAAAGATAAATTTTTAATAATCGGCATGTAGCGGGATAGCAGAGTTGACTGGGTGTTGGCTTGCTAGATCTAGTACTTCGCAGTGGTCGAGGTTCAAATCCCAAATTGTAACAAATTGTAACAATATTAAGAATGGTGCTAATGTAAGGAATGAAGCATTGTAGAGGGAAATATTTAGTGCAATATAGCGCAATACAGTGCAGGGGGTACAGAGGAGTGCAGTATAGTGAAGTGGGTTTACGGGTATAGTGCAGGGAAGAATAGTGCAGTAGGTTTACGGAAGTGCAGTATAGTGCATGGGGTTTAGGGTAAGGGTTAGGTATAGTGCAGTGGGTTTACGGAAGTGCAAAATAGTGCAGTGAGTTTTCAGGAGTGCAATATAGTGCAGGTGGTTTACGGGTGTGCAGTATAGTTCAGGGGCTTTTCGGAAAAGCAGTATAGTGCAGGGGGTTTACTGGAGTTCAGTATAATTCAGGGGGTTTACGGGAGTGCAGTATAGTGCAGTGAGTTTTCAGGAGTTTTACGGGAGTGCAGTATAGTGCAGGGGGTTTACTGGAGTGCAGTAAAGTGCAGGGGGTTTACTGGAGTGCAGTATAATTCAGGGGGTTTACGGGAGTGCAGTATAGTGCAGCGAGTTTTCAGGAGTTTTACGGGAGTGCAGTATAGTGCAGGGGCTTTTCGGGAAAGCAGTATAGTGCAGGGGGTTTACTGGAATGCAGTAAAGTGCAGGGGGTTTACTGGAGTGCAGTAAAGTGCAGGGGGTTTACGGGAGTGCAGTATAGTGCAGGGGTTTTCGGGAAAGCAGTATAGTGCAGGCACTTTACGGGAGTGCATTATAGTGTAGATAGTTTAACGATTGCAGTGTAGTGCAGTGTGTTTACGGGAGTGCAGTATAGTGCAGGGTTTTACGGGAGTGCAGGGGGCTCAGTATAGTGCAGGGGATTGCAAAGGTTTCTAGGGTAGTGCTGGGGGTAGCCATAAATCCGCAGTGCTCATCATCTAAATTAATTATATTAAAAAAAATTAATATTGAAGCTATTATAAAGCAAATTTCATTTTCCAAACTTATAGTAATAATTGACGGCAGCATGTGCATTAAACAAAATTAAAGAATATGTATCACCCTTCACAAAAATTCTAATTCTGACTGAAAATTATTTACTTTAGCACTCGTTACTTTTTCTTGGAACATTAGGAAATCGCAATTGCTTCCCTTTAAAAAAACATAACATCGGGGGGGGGGGGGGGGGCATTAAATTTGTATTACTTTGTTTTTTCGTTGGGAAAAAATAATTGCATAATTAGCATGGGTTGATCAAGTGAAATGTTGTAGGTATTTTAAATACTGCCTTTTATTTATTGTATACAATATTATTTTTAATCAACAACAGTTTAGAAACCAGCTCCTAAATTTCCTCTATGTTTGCGGATAAGCTTGGGGCAGGCGCGTCCGCCGGCGCCCCGGCAGGTTTCGATTTGGCATCCTAGGCTATCGTATGAGTATAATTTCGTATTAAACAGTGCGATAGACTATGGATAAAAAAGGTTACTATAGCCTTTAACTAAATCGAATCCGGGCGGCCTCCGGCACCCTGACAGTGTGCTATTTGGCGCCTCGGGCCTTCCCGTGTTCGCTATGACGCCTTCGTTCGTTTAAATGAGTGCAAAAAACTATGAAGAAGTTGGGGTACTATAGTCATTTAACTAAGTTGAATCATGTGGTTTCGCCGGCGCCCAGCATGATGCAATTTGGCGTCCCGGGCTAGACTGTGAGCACTTTGCGTTTATGTTTGCGTTTTCTTTGGGTTTGGGTTTTTGTGGTTGGGTTTGTTTTTTCGTTTACTTTTTTGTTTGCGTTTGTAGTTGTGTCTTCTGCCTGGTTGTGTTTGTGTTTATGTTTTCGTTTGTATTTGTGTTTGCAATGTATTATGCTTGCGTTGTTTTTTTTTGTGTTTTGATTTTGGTTGGTCGTGGTTAGGGTTAATTCGAAAAGCAATATATTTTTTAAACCCGGGCAATGCCGGATATCTGCTGCTTACTAAACACACAAGTCATAATCCTTTACATATAGGTTTTTCACAAAGGCCAGTGCTGGGCCTGGCTGGGCCAGCTAGTTATTACACAAAAGCTTGTTATCAAAACGTTTTTTTAAATTAGTTTTTTATGCAAAAGGTCTATTATTTTCAAATTTGTTGATAGGGCTAGCTCAACTACAGCAGAGTTTAATAAGAAAAGAGCCCTTATCATAAATATTTTTAATAGGCTATATTTATACATTGATTTTGTTGTTAATTCTTCAGCAAAATTACTTCCATCTTTTTTTTCTAATGCTATTTTAGCTTAACATTTATTTAACAAATGTTTGAACTATTTTTAAGAGATGAGCAAGTTAATGTGTCAATTAGAGTACCTTAACTTATGCTGTACTGCTGCAAAAGCCACTTCATATCTCATGCTTAACACATTAGCATTGGTTAAATTCAGTTAAAATCTATATATTAGGTGACATCTAGTCATTGATCTATGTAGTAAGTCGCATCAAGTCATTGATCTATATGTTTAGTGACATCAAGTCATTGATCTATATAGTAGGTGGCAACAACTCATTGATCTATATTGTAGGTGGCATCAAGTCATTGGTCTAAATAGTAAGTGGCATCAAATCACTGATCTATGTGGCATCAAGTATCTAATCAACCTTTAGTAATTTAAACATTTTAACCCAATAACTTTGACATTAACACCAAAAGTAGAATGTTTATGCAATTTATTTCAGGCAAGTGTTTATTGAACAGAAATTTTGTAACTACAAGTTCTCAGTAACTTTTGTACAATTGTATCTGTTTAACTATGCACATGTTCTGTTAGATGGGTATTCTGTCTGGTAGAGAAGTTATTTTGTGCCAATTGTCTTTGTTAGATGGTTTTTCTCTGGTGTCTAGAAAGTTTAGCTACTTGAATGAATATAGAAGCAGCAATATTTCAACATAATAATGGCAAATATCCATAAATGTACTCATGTCTGAGTTAATAATGGTGTACATACTTGTTTGATTTTGTTTGGTATTGTTTGTAGTCATATGATTTTTACAGCAAACTACTGCTTGTTGTATCATGCATTCTTCAAGTAGAATTGATGGCTACATGAAACTGCAAAAATAATTGTCATTTGCATGTAAATGTTATGTAATCTAAATTAGTGTCAAACTGAATTGATGTATTTCATAATTTTTTGTCATTCAAGCTGGTTGTAAAACCTACACTTGGTTATATAGATGAACATTTGTTTATCTGCTTCTGCAAAGGCAAGAATTATCTTTGAGTCATTACAGTTACTTTAATTCTTAATTTTAATATTTGATTAATATATTTTAAAGAATAAAATACTAAGAGAAATTTTGAGTAAAGATCTAAGATGATTTTTAAACTAAAATTGTAAATAGAATATCAGATGTGTGATCTTTTATTTACTGCTAGTCATTTCAAAACGTTTTTAAAATGCTAACTAGTCACAAAAATATTTTGTCACATTACTTTTGTCAATAATTAGTTAAATTTAAAGAAAGCTAAGATTTTCTTCTTTAATTATTTTTAAAATTATATGTGATCTATCTTACACCAAATATAAATTTTGCATTGTTTTACCCATTAAATCACATTTTATTTTATTTGTATATCCGAATGGAAAGATGTTTTCTATTAAGATTATGTTTATAGTAAAATAATGTTGTAGGGGAGAAAACGTGCACTCTATGATTACCCTGAAATAACCACCTAATGAACTGGTTTCAAATGGTTCTGTCTGATAACCTTCAAATGGTTACTAAATGATAACCTTGAAGACTAAATGTGCACTTATATTTTGTTGTCAGATTTTATTTAGTAAGAATTATCCAAAAGTCAAGTGGATTTACTCACTATGTCCAAACATGAAGTCAAGTAAATTGACTGTTGAATGAAAAAGATTGCAATTTTTCTCCCTTTCAAGTTCCCCAACTCATTAAATGGAATCAAAATGTGACACATAGTTTAATGCTTCACTCAACTATACATTTTTCATTAGAAGATCAGTTCTAAAAGATTGTTTAGGAGAGTGGTAAAGGATTGTTTAGGGGAGTGGTAAAGGATTGTTAAGAAGAGCGGTTAAGTTCTTTTTAAGAGGTGTGTAAAGGATTGTAAAGAAGAGCGGTTAAGTTCTTTTTAAGAGATTTGTAAAGGATTGTTAAGAAGAGCGGTTAAGTTCTTTTAAAGAGATGTGTAAAGGATTGTTTAGGAGAATGGTTAAAGATTTTTTAGGAGAGAGGTAAAGGAATGTTTAGGCAAGTGGTAAAGGATTGTTTAGGAAAATGTTAAAGGATTTTTGTTTAAGAGAGCAGTTTAGGATTTATTAAAAGAGTGCTAAGTAATGTTTAGGAGGGTGGTGATTCTATCATTCAACTTAAATATTTCTTTGTCAGAAAACATTATAACGACATAGTGGAACACATCATCTCTACACTCCAGTAGAACACATCATCTTTACACTCTAACGGAACACATCATCTCTACAGTCTAGTGGAAAACATCATCTCTACACTCCAGTAGAAAACATCATCACTATACTCTAGTGGAACACATCAAGAGAACACATCATCTCTACAGTCTAGTGGAAACATCATCTCTACACTCCAGTAGAAAACATCATCAATATACTCTAGTAGAACACATCAACAGAACACTCACTACACTCTAGTGGAACACACCATCTCTACCCTCTGGTGGAACACAGCACCTCTACACTCTAGTAGAATACATCATCACTACACTCCAGTAGAAAACATCATCACTATACTCCAGTAGAAAACATCATCACTATACTCTAGTGGAACACATTAACACTACACTCACTAAACTCTAGTGGAACACACAATCTCTACACTCTGGTGGAACACAGCATCTCTACACTCTAGTAGAATACATCATCACTACACTCTAGTAGAACACATCATCTTTACACTCTAGTGGAACACTTCATCACTACACTCTAGTAGAACACATCATCTCTACACTCTAGTGGAATACATCATCTTCACATGTCCTGATACTGGCGGGATGATTGAATAAAAAGTTAGTACATTAAGACCTGTGTGGAGATAAAAGTAATGTATTTAATATTGTATTTTACCTTACCAAATGATATATTACCCTACCTTTTTTTACATAATGAATATGTAGATTGTTCTAAACGATTGTAGTTAGCAGCAAACGTAAGAGTCTTTGGGACAGAGGATAAAATGAACAAATAAGTGAATGTGAATGTTTACTTAAAGCCAAATAATACATGTTGTCTTGTTTATGGAATGAAATGGCCTATCAACTAAATAACTAAATTTCAAACTGCTATAAATTGGGGGAGAAAGTAATTACCTCTTATAATATGCTTTAAATCATACATATTTAGTTCTAATACAAATATTTTTGCGTTTCATTCAATAAGTATCTGCTGTACAAAAAGGCAAAATGTTTATGCGTCCAATATAGTAACTCATAAAGATAAATTTTTAATAATCGGCATGTAGCGGGATAGCAGAGTTGACTGGGTGCTGGCTTGCTAGATCTAGTACTTCGCAGTGGTCGAGGTTCAAATCCCAAATTGTAACAAATTGTAACAATATTAAGAATGGTGCTAATGTAAGGAATGAAGCATTGTAGAGGGAAATATTTAGTGCAATATAGCGCAATACAGTGCAGGGGGTACAGAGGAGTGCAGTATAGTGAAGTGGGTTTACGGGTATAGTGCAGGGAAGAATAGTGCAGTAGGTTTACGGAAGTGCAGTATAGTGCATGGGGTTTAGGGTAAGGGTTAGGTATAGTGCAGTGGGTTTACGGGAGTGCAAAATAGTGCAGTGAGTTTTCAGGAGTGCAATATAGTGCAGGTGGTTTACGGGTGTGCAGTATAGTTCAGGGGCTTTTCGGAAAAGCAGTATAGTGCAGGGGGTTTACTGGAGTTCAGTATAATTCAGGGGGTTTACGGGAGTGCAGTATAGTGCAGTGAGTTTTCAGGAGTTTTACGGGAGTGCAGTATAGTGCAGGGGGTTTACTGGAGTGCAGTAAAGTGCAGGGGGTTTACTGGAGTGCAGTATAATTCAGGGGGTTTACGGGAGTGCAGTATAGTGCAGCGAGTTTTCAGGAGTTTTACGGGAGTGCAGTATAGTGCAGGGGCTTTTCGGGAAAGCAGTATAGTGCAGGGGGTTTACTGGAATGCAGTAAAGTGCAGGGGGTTTACTGGAGTGCAGTAAAGTGCAGGGGGTTTACGGGAGTGCAGTATAGTGCAGGGGTTTTCGGGAAAGCAGTATAGTGCAGGCACTTTACGGGAGTGCATTATAGTGTAGATAGTTTAACGATTGCAGTGTAGTGCAGTGTGTTTACGGGAGTGCAGTATAGTGCAGGGTTTTACGGGAGTGCAGGGGGCTCAGTATAGTGCAGGGGATTGCAAAGGTTTCTAGGGTAGTGCTGGGGGTAGCCATAAATCCGCAGTGCTCATCATCTAAATTAATTATATTAAAAAAAATTAATATTGAAGCTATTATAAAGCAAATTTCATTTTCCAAACTTATAGTAATAATTGACGGCAGCATGTGCATTAAACAAAATTAAAGAATATGTATCACCCTTCACAAAAATTCTAATTCTGACTGAAAATTATTTACTTTAGCACTCGTTACTTTTTCTTGGAACATTAGGAAATCGCAATTGCTTCCCTTTAAAAAAACATAACATCGGGGGGGGGGGGGGGGCATTAAATTTGTATTACTTTGTTTTTTCGTTGGGAAAAAATAATTGCATAATTAGCATGGGTTGATCAAGTGAAATGTTGTAGGTATTTTAAATACTGCCTTTTATTTATTGTATACAATATTATTTTTAATCAACAACAGTTTAGAAACCAGCTCCTAAATTTCCTCTATGTTTGCGGATAAGCTTGGGGCAGGCGCGTCCGCCGGCGCCCCGGCAGGTTTCGATTTGGCATCCTAGGCTATCGTATGAGTATAATTTCGTATTAAACAGTGCGATAGACTATGGATAAAAAAGGTTACTATAGCCTTTAACTAAATCGAATCCGGGCGGCCTCCGGCACCCTGACAGTGTGCTATTTGGCGCCTCGGGCCTTCCCGTGTTCGCTATGACGCCTTCGTTCGTTTAAATGAGTGCAAAAAACTATGAAGAAGTTGGGGTACTATAGTCATTTAACTAAGTTGAATCATGTGGTTTCGCCGGCGCCCAGCATGATGCAATTTGGCGTCCCGGGCTAGACTGTGAGCACTTTGCGTTTATGTTTGCGTTTTCTTTGGGTTTGGGTTTTTGTGGTTGGGTTTGTTTTTTCGTTTACTTTTTTGTTTGCGTTTGTAGTTGTGTCTTCTGCCTGGTTGTGTTTGTGTTTATGTTTTCGTTTGTATTTGTGTTTGCAATGTATTATGCTTGCGTTGTTTTTTTTTGTGTTTTGATTTTGGTTGGTCGTGGTTAGGGTTAATTCGAAAAGCAATATATTTTTTAAACCCGGGCAATGCCGGATATCTGCTGCTTACTAAACACACAGTCATAATCCTTTACATATAGGTTTTTCACAAAGGCCAGTGCTGGGCCTGGCTGGGCCAGCTAGTTATTACACAAAAGCTTGTTATCAAAACGTTTTTTTAAATTAGTTTTTTATGCAAAAGGTCTATTATTTTCAAATTTGTTGATAGGGCTAGCTCAACTACAGCAGAGTTTAATAAGAAAAGAGCCCTTATCATAAATATTTTTAATAGGCTATATTTATACATTGATTTTGTTGTTAATTCTTCAGCAAAATTACTTCCATCTTTTTTTTCTAATGCTATTTTAGCTTAACATTTATTTAACAAATGTTTGAACTATTTTTAAGAGATGAGCAAGTTAATGTGTCAATTAGAGTACCTTAACTTATGCTGTACTGCTGCAAAAGCCACTTCATATCTCATGCTTAACACATTAGCATTGGTTAAATTCAGTTAAAATCTATATATTAGGTGACATCTAGTCATTGATCTATGTAGTAAGTCGCATCAAGTCATTGATCTATATGTTTAGTGGCATCAAGTCATTGATCTATATAGTAGGTGGCAACAACTCATTGATCTATATTGTAGGTGGCATCAAGTCATTGGTCTAAATAGTAAGTGGCATCAAATCACTGATCTATGTGGCATCAAGTATCTAATCAACCTTTAGTAATTTAAACATTTTAACCCAATAACTTTGACATTAACACCAAAAGTAGAATGTTTATGCAATTTATTTCAGGCAAGTGTTTATTGAACAGAAATTTTGTAACTACAAGTTCTCAGTAACTTTTGTACAATTGTATCTGTTTAACTATGCACATGTTCTGTTAGATGGGTATTCTGTCTGGTAGAGAAGTTATTTTGTGCCAATTGTCTTTGTTAGATGGTTTTTCTCTGGTGTCTAGAAAGTTTAGCTACTTGAATGAATATAGAAGCAGCAATATTTCAACATAATAATGGCAAATATCCATAAATGTACTCATGTCTGAGTTAATAATGGTGTACATACTTGTTTGATTTTGTTTGGTATTGTTTGTAGTCATATGATTTTTACAGCAAACTACTGCTTGTTGTATCATGCATTCTTCAAGTAGAATTGATGGCTACATGAAACTGCAAAAATAATTGTCATTTGCATGTAAATGTTATGTAATCTAAATTAGTGTCAAACTGAATTGATGTATTTCATAATTTTTTGTCATTCAAGCTGGTTGTAAAACCTACACTTGGTTATATAGATGAACATTTGTTTATCTGCTTCTGCAAAGGCAAGAATTATCTTTGAGTCATTACAGTTACTTTAATTCTTAATTTTAATATTTGATTAATATATTTTAAAGAATAAAATACTAAGAGAAATTTTGAGTAAAGATCTAAGATGATTTTTAAACTAAAATTGTAAATAGAATATCAGATGTGTGATCTTTTATTTACTGCTAGTCATTTCAAAACGTTTTTAAAATGCTAACTAGTCACAAAAATATTTTGTCACATTACTTTTGTCAATAATTAGTTAAATTTAAAGAAAGCTAAGATTTTCTTCTTTAATTATTTTTAAAATTATATGTGATCTATCTTACACCAAATATAAATTTTGCATTGTTTTACCCATTAAATCACATTTTATTTTATTTGTATATCCGAATGGAAAGATGTTTTCTATTAAGATTATGTTTATAGTAAAATAATGTTGTAGGGGAGAAAACGTGCACTCTATGATTACCCTGAAATAACCACCTAATGAACTGGTTTCAAATGGTTCTGTCTGATAACCTTCAAATGGTTACTAAATGATAACCTTGAAGACTAAATGTGCACTTATATTTTGTTGTCAGATTTTATTTAGTAAGAATTATCCAAAAGTCAAGTGGATTTACTCACTATGTCCAAACATGAAGTCAAGTAAATTGACTGTTGAATGAAAAAGATTGCAATTTTTCTCCCTTTCAAGTTCCCCAACTCATTAAATGGAATCAAAATGTGACACATAGTTTAATGCTTCACTCAACTATACATTTTTCATTAGAAGATCAGTTCTAAAAGATTGTTTAGGAGAGTGGTAAAGGATTGTTTAGGGGAGTGGTAAAGGATTGTTAAGAAGAGCGGTTAAGTTCTTTTTCAGAGATGTATAAAGTATTGTTAAGAAGAATGGTTAAGTTTTTTAAACTGTTTATAAACTGTTTATTGACCATATTGATTATTTTTACAGCAAATTTTAAGCTTTAAACAAAAAATATTTTTAACAATTTTTACACACGGCCTGTCAAGAAATTTTGTCAAAAATTGACATTTTGAAATTTTTCTTATTTTATCCAGAAACCCATTTAATTGATTGATCAGAGTATAAACTTGTCAAATATGAGACTGGTTTGCTTTAGTTTCAGACTAAGAAGTTCTTGAAAAATGTAAGATCATGAAAAATGACCTTAAATTTTTTTTTGCAATAAGACTCATAATTTTTTTAGCAGTATTTTAATGCTTTTATAAACTGTTTAGCTATCATATTGATTATTTTTTACATAAAATTTTAAGATTTAAAAAAAAATTATTTTTAACAATTTTTACACCCGGCTGGTCAAGAAATGTTAAAAATTGAAATGTTTCTAATTTTATCCAGAAACCCATTCTATTGGTTGATCAGAGTATAAACTTGTCAAATATGAGACTGGTTTGTTTTAAATTCAGAGTAAAAAGTTCATGAAAAATGTAAGACTTGCCAATCATGAAAAATGATCTTACATTATTTTTGCAATAAGACTCATAATTTCTTTAACAGTGTTGTAGTGCTTTTATAAGCTGTTTAGTGATCATATTGATTGGTTTTTACATATAATTTTAAGATTTAAAAAAAATTATTTTTAACAATTTTTACACAAGCCGGTCAAGAAATTTTGTTAAAAATAGACATTTTGAAATTTATCTTATTTTATCCAGAAACCCATTTAATTGATTGATCAGACTATAAACTTGTCAAATATGATACTGGTTTTCTTTAATTTCAGACTAAGAAGTTCTTGAAAAATATAATACTTGCCGATCATGAAAAATAATGTTAAATTATTTTTGCATTAAGACTCATAATTTTTTTTAACAGTGTTGTAATGCTTTTATAAACTGTTTAGTGATTATATTGATTATTTTTTACAGCAAATTTTAGGATTTAAAAATAAAAAAATTTAACAATTTTTACACCCGGCCGGTCAAGAAATTTTGTTAAAATTTGACATTTTGAAATTTTTCTAATTTTAATCCAGAAACCCATTCTATTGATTGATCAGAGTATAAACTTGTCAAATATGAGACTTGACTTAGTCTTCTTTGCTCCTTATGGAACATTGGGCCTCCACCATTTCCTTCCATTTCTTCCTATCCCCGGCTATTAATTTTGTCATCTCCCAAGACATCCCTATTGGCTTCAGTTCTTCAAGAAGACTCCGCCTCCAGGTCTGTCTTGGGCGCCCTCTTTTCCGCTTTCCCTGGGGGTTCCCAAATATGAGACTGGTTTGCTTTAATTTCAGACTATATCATATTTATTGTTATGGATGCAGTAAATCTTATCGATATTAAAAGAGTGGATAAAGACCTAGAAATAAATACAGATGGAAGAAGTTATAAAAGCTATCAGATATTTTAAAATCACAGAGACCAGAGAAGCAAATGGAATCTGTTCTGAAATGTTGAAAGCAGACTACCAGGAATTCTGTTAACTTCTGTGTTTACTATCTAACAATCACCAGGCCTTTCAACGGGAGACAAATTGCAAAGATGAGCCTAAGGATTAAGCCGAAGTCTTGAATTCCCATGTCAAGGAACCTCTCAGTTTAGAAGGCAAAAAATTAGCACTAATTAGAGGTAGTGGACTGGAATGTGACGTTATTTTAGAGGGGAGGTGACAATGTGTGATGTTGGGGATATCAAGGATAGTTTTATGTTTATTTATACGAGAATAGTAGTTGAATAAATATTGACCAAGAAAATAATAGGCATTGTGTAAAGCGATTATCGCCTGTATCGTGATGGGAAATGCACATGGTAGTGGTATGCTTTAAATGGTAGTAGATCACGTGATCAAACACGACACTCTCACAGCAGCCCTAATAGTCATGTATAAATGTGTTTTCTAGTCCATATAGGTCTTTGTGCTAAATTTCTTTTTTGCACATTTTTCGTCGGTTTTTTCTGGATGCGCATTTTCTGTTTGCGCTTTTTTCTGTGTGCGTATTTGTCTGTGTGCGTTTTTTTTCTGTGTGCGCTTTTTTCTCTTTGCGCTTCTTTCTGGGAACCAGAGAAACCACAAAGTTAAAACATAAACATACGAAAAATGAAACATTCTATAGACTAGTAGGAAACAGAGTTATGCCCAGGCATCTCTTTCGGGGGGGGGGGTGTCGGAGCCGCCCCCCCCCCCCCTAAACTAAATTTTTATAGAAAATATATACTTTTAACAGTGCCCCCCCCCCCCCCCCCCCCCCCGAAGAAAGTCTACCAGGAGAAAAAAGTCTGGAAGAAACACTGGTAGGAAATAGTCTAAAGCCGGAAAAATACACACAACAATATGGCGTCATTGATTCTCTAGTAAACTATTAATTAAAAGGCCAATGCCGAAAAGTTCACAATAGCAATGATGCCATCGATACTCTATAATAAAAACTCTGACATTACCGCCGTATTCATTGGTCTAATCTTAATAGTGATTTTTGTGCTGTTTCTTTCAATGAGAAAAGAGGAAGGGGGGGGGGGATGCGAAAAATTCGACTTTAGTGGGCCTTTAATGGGTCCGATTCATGCGGACGTCCACACATGAAATATTTGATTAGGCCCTAAAATATTTCGCTTTATAACTTTATAGTTCTTTAAATAGTAGTGTATAATTTATTTTCTACTTTTTAGTTTTAGTGCATTATTACACAAAAGCGTGTTATTAAAACGTTTTTATGAATTTTTTTACAAGATTTTATTTAACTCACTTCCTCGTCAGTCTGTCTAGATCGAAACGCCCGTGCGAAATTGCAGGCACTTCTAACTGATAGATACCGTTCGTATTGGTACGTGGGTCAAGACATGAAGACAATGCAACATGACATATAATTTGACTTAATTGGTTGCCCGATTAATTTTTTATGAATAAATAAAAATTTTGTCCAAATTAGTTGGCTGTCTCATCAAACTATTCCGCACTATTATACAGGCGTCATCAGGTTCATTAGGTGCGCAATAATTTTTAGTCATACAACTCTATTGTAAATTTAAAACATTTAAAGTACTGAAAAAAATCATTAAAAAAAAAAATGTTTTAATAACAAGCTTTTAGTAATAATGCACTAAAAAGTAGAAAATAAATGATTTTCCTTAAATGTTTAAAAATATACTACCATTTATATAACTAAAATGTAAAAGATGTTATGAGCAACCAAAGCTTTTATGAAAGAAAGCAAATTAGTATTATTTTCTTATTTTCAGTGCATTTAAAAGCTTGTCGCTATAACGGGTTTCTTAAATATTTTTTACTTAAAAAACAAACATCAAGGCAAAATGTACGAACATTAAATTTCATTTTAATTAATTATGGTCGGCTGTGGGGCCCCTTAAACGACCCCCCCCCCCCCCAGATACACACAAACAGCAACCAAATTCTTACAAATGAATTTAGATCTAGGTATAATTTTGACACCCCCATCCCCACTTAAAAAAAATCCAGCAGTTGAAATTAGTTTCATTATGTCGCGTAGCGTGGTAGTGATCAAAAATAAAATTTTAAAAATGCAATTCCTAGGCATAGGATCTACATTCTGAATTAGAAGGCACTCGCAAGCATTCAGAGTAGCAGCATTATGGACTAACCCTAGCAATGAATGAAAAAATGCCTCACCGTCTTTGCCTACCAGCTAAATTACTAAGAAATTTATGGGAAAATGCTTAACATATCAGATGTGAGGTTTTGGATAGTTATATTTTAGGTGTCTGGTATCTAGATCTAGTTACTTGGATTAAAATTATCTAGATGCAAGTTACATAATAAACACAGTTCCCCGAGTTAACCATATTATTATTACTTTACTTTAATCTACCATACAGAAAGCTAAGATGACACGTCCTGTCTCTGAATCTACCTTTCGTTAACTGCCTCACGGATACGGTATACAAAATACAAGAGACGAAAGGGGGGAAGAAGCTGACCCATGCTTTTTAGATGTCTTGTTCAAATTCGCTCTTTCAAAACAGTGAATTTAATTTTCTGACAGACTTGTTTTATATAAATTATGTGATCGTTTTACATTGAATTTTAAATTGACAAGCTTTTTTATTTTCTCGTGTACGAAGTTAAGAGAAAGTATTGATCGTGCAAAAAGTAGGAAAAAAACCATAGTTTTGCAATCTTGTCCGTGCGTCTGTATAAGTGTGAACAAGATAACTTGAGTACCGTTACAGCCAGGTTGATGAAATCAAATTTGTAGATCTGTATCAACTGATTCAGTGAATGACTATAAAAACCCCAGCTTGTCCGCAAACCGAATGATAGAATAATAATTTAAACTTTTTTTTTTTTCAGTTCTTTAAATTAAAAAAAAAAAATTTACAATAGTTTCATGACTAAAACCATTGCGCACCTTATGAACATGATAGTGCGGAATAGTTTATTAAAAAATTATAATTAGTAAACAGTAGCCTACGTTCAGTGAATAAAATAAATAAGTTTGCCTTATATTAATCCATGCTAATTATAATATTTAACAATAATATCATCTTACACGTCTGCAGAATTTACATTCACATTTCTACTTTCTCGTATATACGAAATATAGATAAAGTCTTGTATTATGTAATCGTGCAAAACATAAATTAAAAACTCGACGTTTTACACCTACCTGAGTCGGAAAAACATAGTTTTGCTAGGTTGATGAAATTTCATATATAAGTATTATATCAAAATCGTAGATCCGTATCAACTTTTGAGCGATTTCCGATAACCGGAACTTTTTCTACTTTGAATTTTTCAAAAGCCTATAACTTGAGTACTATTTCAGTTAGATAAATGAAATTTCACATTAAAGTAAAAGATCTAATTCTCTGCCTTCTATCAAATTTTGAGTAATTTCTGTTGACCGGAAGTAGTAATTTTCGCTATTTCCAATTTCTCAAAAAAAAAAAAAAATACGCATGTGAATTTATAAAGCACTAATAATATTCCGTACTATTATGCAAATTTTATTTGGCATTTGCACTTTTTGTGCAATTTTTTTTCTATGAGATTTTATTTAAAAAGTGTAAGTATTTAAAATGGATTTAAAAATCATGTCTATATCCTGAGTTGCCATCCCGTTGTTTCATGTATGTATAAACGAGAAAGTTTAGGGGAAATCACTCCCGGTTTAAAAATATTAGCGTGTTGCATTTATTTTTAAATTACCTCCCTTGGGAAATTACAAAACAGTTTAATTAATTAGTTTTTTGGACCCTATTATTATGCAAATGTATTCATTTTTTCTAGGAATCTAAACGAAAATAATATTTGACAATGATCCGTTAAATATGTTTTAGCAATATGCATGTATTTTTTTTCATACGAAAGAGTAAAAACAGTGGCAACTATAAGAGAAATTTAAGTTGTTTTATAAACAAACCCTACTTAATTACTTACAATTATAATAAGACACTGCGTTGCAAGCAAAAAGCACATGTGTTTACTTTTATGACTCAAAATCTATAGCGATGACGGAATGACTGACACACTACCACAACCCTTTATAACAGTATAGTTGTCAGTGTTGTATATTTATTTTGTATGGTTCTGAGTTTCTTCCAGGCATTCTGGGGGGGGGGGGGGGGGGGGGGGGGGAAGGAGGCTATAATTAATAATGTATAAATTGAGCGTAGCGACCCAGGCTTTTAAATTTGATGTCCAAAGGACCACAGCTAGTCTGTTACTGTTACACCACTGATAGTAATTTTAGATGATTCATTGCTGAAAAAAGAAAAAAGCTACATTTCTGAACATTAATACCATATCCACAAAACACCCCCTTGTTACAAATTAAGTCTCACTAAGGAAGAGGGGTAAACTGAGTTCAGCATTTTGTGATGATGTGTGACATAAAGTGTAAAGTGTGAATGTTCAAATTTTAAAAAGTAATATAAGAAACTTAATTTTAGTCTTTGCTGCTATTTCGAGATTTTAAAACGCTGTTTATGTAAACAGTAAAAAGAAAAGGGTTAATATCTGTATACTCAATGTTGATTCAGTATGGAGATAATTTAAGAAATAAATAAATGTTTTTATAAAAACAAATAGTTGAAAAAGTGCAATTAAGAGGTCTATGATAGTCTATCATCATTTGTGTCCCTAATAGGAGGTTAAAAATCAACAACAAAATGTGACGTAATTTATGGATAGCCCTAAATTATCGGAGGCAACATGAAAAGTCTATTAAAAAATAGATTAGGCTAAGAACTAAATAATAAATTATATAATATGCAAAATGCCTCATTGAGAATAAATTGTAACATCATATACACATTGAAAGTGAAATAAAATACAAGACAGCATACATTAATTGTATATTTTGGCATTTCTGCTTCTTATTGTTATACCAAAACCTATCAAACAAAAAGTTTTTTAATTAAGGGTGCTATTTTAAAGTGTTTGTTAATAATACGAGTTAAATATGAGCGTAATCAAATACCACTGCTCAATACAAGTAAAATAAAAGTGCCATATATTTATAAAACAGATTTTGGATAAAATATGTGTATATGCTTTAACTTCTTAAAAACAATTTTTATATATTTTATAAAACAATCACTTCTAAACATTTTTTATTCATTTCATGAACTCGGTACATGTTTTGCAGGAGTCAACTTTATAAGTCTTGAAAGGAAAACAAAATATCACTTGTTTCAACATTAGTGTTACTTATAATTAATAATGATTTAAGTTTAATTTACAATATTACTAATAAATGAAACTTAACTTTTAACATATGAGAATAAAAACTTGTCTTAATTTCTAAAATACGATATTATGAATGTAGAGGGGAATAATTATAAATATCAAATTCAGAGATGTAACAGATCATCAAATAAGTTATTTTTCAATCAGTAACATGGTTCATAGCAATGCTTCTGACAACAAATGAAGGATATTTTCCAAATATTCCAGAGCAAACTATAAATTTCTATGAAATATCAATGTAAAATTAATGTTCTTCAAAATAAAGGAAAAATTGTAATAGTTTCATATTTGCTTATTACCCTATTTAAAAAAATTTAATGCACATAATTGTTAATTTATATTATACATTAGATACAGGATTCCATGTTCTACTTATAGAGCAAGTTTTACTAACTATCAGATTAATGTATCCCCATTGTGTTGTTTTTTAAACTTCAGGTTTTATGGCATTGTAACCACATTTTACTTAACATTTAAACCTTAATTTCAAGGTGTTTTTATTGAAGTTCAAAAATAATTTTTTATTTTACAAAAATAAAATAAAAATGATCACAAATAGATCTAATTGGTATTCATCTGCAGCTAATCTGATTTGATTATCTAAAAATGGACTTTTACAAGGAAAGAATTTGTTTTAGAGGGAAAAAAAAAACCAATTTGTAGGATGTTACAAGAATGATGATGACGTAGATGGTCCATTGGAAATTGATGAAGAAGAAGCAGCACTTGCATGCATTTCATTATTTTCTGCTACAGGTGTGGTGAAGTTAGAGTTTTCAAGGGTATCTTCATTTCTTGAAGTGTCTAATCCATTTAGGTCTTTTCTACAAACGGGGCAAGTTCCATGCTGAAATTTTTAAATTTTAAAAATAAATAAGTAGGTTAAATGCAATATTGTTTAGAACAGGTACTCAGTAAAATAATGAGATACAATACAAACTATAAGAAACCAAAACACATAATACTTTTTGAACAATCATTTGCACTTAACAAATGCTTATCTTTTTTACTCCTTGTTTATACAGTGCAGAGAGGAAGTATTATTATAATCATACAAAAAAATCAAAACCAGGAATTTGACAAATCTTGAAGTTTTACACCTCCCTTAGTCAGAAAAACTTAGTTTTTACAATTTGGTCTGAGAGTCTGAATTTGAATAGTTTCAGTTATGTTGACGAAATTTCTTATTCTATATCTATATTTGAAGTTCTGTATCAACTTAAGAGCGGTTTCTGTTTAAACTGTTTAAGTGGTAATTATTCTACTTCAGGTTTCTCAAAAGCCAAAAACTTGAGTACCATTTAAGTTAAGTGGACACAATTTGATACAATAGAATTACATTGTATGCACAGGTTCCTATTGGTACATTTAAAAAGGCTTTTTCATTTATGCACTTGCAGTAATCAAATTTAAAAGGCTTATATTTCAGTATATATAACAACTTTTTGAAAGAGCTAGTGGTCAGAATTCTACAAGGTCTGAAAATTCGTATTTGCATATTATTTATCTTGTACTTTTCCTATGAAAGTAAGTATATCAAACAGTTCAAATATATGCAGTTTTCACCCAAATGTAGTAGTTTTTGTTTCTCAGTTTCTATATTAAAAAGGGATCTTATAGAAATAAGCTTGGTACCTTAAAGTAAATTTTAATCTTGGTACCATTAAAAAGTAAATTTTAAGCTCTCTAATTCTGCATAAATTTTATGGTTTTTGATATTACACCATATATTTCAGTTATCGATTGAAAATTATCACTGAGATGATTCTTCAACTGTTTAACAAACTAAGCAATTAGAAAATTAGTATGTGAGTCTCACATCCTATAATTTTTTAATTAAAATTAAAACACTTAAATTGTTTATTATTTCTAAGCATGTTCGAAAAAAGCTCAACAAAACACAATACCGATCACTAAAATCACTCTAGGAACAGTAGCAGAAAATGGCAGCTTTCTTCATGAACAACACACCACCAAGATTTTCTAAATTGATGTTAGCAGGTTTTAGAGGGTTGATAGTAAAAAAATAAAAACATGTAGCTACTTAGTAAACAAGCTTGTCAGTCTAGTTTTTATAGTTTACTAGCCGTCCCGGCCAGGCCCTGCTCTGGCTTCTGTGAAAAACCTTTCTGTTAAAGACCATTACCTGTGTGTTTAGTAATCATCATAAACCCGGCCCTGCCCACCCAAACCACAACCAACCAAAACCAAAACAACAAAACGCAAACATAACGATAACACAAATACAAACGAAAACTAAAACCTAACAACAAACCCAACCACAACCACCAATACAAACACAAACAAAAAACAAACAAAAAAGCAAACGAAAACAAAACCCAACAACAAACCCAACCACAAACACCAATACGAACACAAAAAAAAACAACAAAAAAACCAAAAAGCAAACGAAAACAAACCAAATCCAAAACCAACCACAAACACAAAGAAAAAAACACAAACAAAAAAGCAAACGAAAACAAACCAAATCCAAACACAAACCCAATGAAAAAAACACAAACGAAAAAAGAAACACCAATACAAACACAAACAAAAAACAAACAAAAAAGCAAACGAAAACAAAAACCAACAACAAACCCAACCACAACCACCAATACAAACACAAAAAAAAAAAAACCGAAAAAGCAAACGAAAACAAACCAAATCCAAACGCAAAACCAACCACAAACACAAACCCAAAGATAAAAACACAAATGAAAAAGCAAACGAAAACAAACCAAATCCAAACACAAAACCAACCACAAACACAATGAAAAAAACACAAACGAAAACGAAAGAACAAAAACGACCCAAATCAAAACGCAAACCACTAACGCAAACCCAACCTAAACACAAAGAAAACACTAACGCGAACATAAATGCTAAGTGCTCACAGTCTAGCCCGGGGCGGAATCGCTGTTTCAGCTTTATAAACGACTATAGTACCCCAACTTATTCATAGTCTTTTGCACTCACCAGGGTCCATAGCCAAATCCCAAAAGAAAATTCAAGGCTTTTTCAAGGTTTTCAAGGTGATTTTGGGGGGAATTTCAAGGTAAAAACTACCACTAACAGGCATTACAATGAGGGTGATGTATGTTTTTTGCACACACAATTTTTAAAATAATGTTGGTGTTATTACAAAATTATCTAAGTCAGGAGATTGTCTGAGTCCAGCATAATCCCTTTTGCAATCAGTATCTTTGGTGTCAAATGACACTCTTCCAACTTCTATTTTCAGAAAAACCTCTTTCAACACTGGCTTGACCATGTGACAGAAGCAATAGATCTCTAACAATTTTCCAAATATTCACATAAGAAATTTTGCTATCAAGCTGTTCTATGAAAAAACTGTCCAGCCTATCATGTGGTCTTTTAAATTTAGATAGACAACTATTTAGAGTGCATGTATCTATGAATGTTGAAAATTGAAACAGAACTTGGTCACACTCAGCTGATTTCAGTTTCCATGTGTTGACTAGGATGTGAAGAATTCCCTTCATTTTTTTTTGTGAACTGACTATTTTTAAACATTTGCATTAGGCTAAGTCTCTCACTAATGACTAAAGTAATGGAGATTTCAAGGAAAAATTTGATGAAAATCCTATCAAACTTGTCTTACAATCAGATTTGAAATTGAGAATTTGAAGCTCACTTGCTTTTTTTATTTTTTTTAGAGACTTTATTAGAGAGTCAGCAACAAACCCTACTTCAATTGAATGACTTGTCAATGTCAAGTGCTAATCAGAATCAGGTCATTATACATAAAAGGAAGCATTGGTTCGTCTGTCTGATAGTCCTTTAAAAAGGACTCTGCACAAATATTCCTTTAAAAAGGACTCTGCACACATATAGAAACAAAAAAAAACCTAGCTATGCTTGTAGAAATTATCCTGCTTAATGTCATAAATGACCTCACGCTTTTTAAAAGATTTTAACCTCCCCCCCATCACACATCACAAAAAGCCAGGCCCCACCCTCTAAAATGACGTCACACCTCAGCCTATAACCCCTCCCCCCCCCCCTCATAATTGCAGTTGATTTTTTTCTTAAAATACGATTTTTTCCCAAAATCTTGTCTGAACTCTGTCAAAATAGAGTATTTTAATCAATTTTAATCAATTCCTTTTACAATTTATTAAAACAGTTTTCTAAAATGCTAAAATTCGTTTTCTAACATTGCTTTTTAATAATGCAAAAGTGTGATGTCACACCATCTGACCCCCCCCCCCCCCCAAATCCCCTCATTACACACCGTCACACAATTACGGATCATCCCTCCCCCGACGAGTGTGACGTCATTTATGGACGACCCCAATGTCCCCACCTATGATATACATGATGAAGTAAAGAAATATCGTGGAAGTTTTAAGTTAGTTCATATCGCGGAATAACTGAATTAAGTTGTTTTTTAAACAATTTCACAAGTAACTACGCTAGTAATACTCATGTCAGAGATGTAGCCGCCTGACAAAGTGAAAAGCGGATTTTTTTTTACAAGCGGATGGGAGGGGGCAGTGACAGCGGCAATTTTCTCAAACACGGTAATTCGAGGCTTCTTAAACATTCCAAGGACGTTTTACCACAGTAAAAAGCAATGGACACCAGCGAGTTGACGAGATTCCTTCTGTAATGTTGTTGACATGGAATAAAAATGTGCTTTTTAGATTTAGGACCATAAAAATAATAAATGACAAAATTTTATTAAAAAACTTAAGCCTAAAATTAATTCAGAAATTTAATATTTTTAGAATCAATCAAATTTAAACACCATGACCTATTTTTTCTATTTTTAGCTTACAATGTGTACAATAAAATTTATGGCGGCCATTGTTTATGTCGCCATTACACGTGAAAACCAAATTGTTTTTGCTTTTTTTTAAATTTTTATTTAGTTACCGAAAATATTAAAAACATCAAATACATCCAATCTTTAGTAAAGTCCAAAAAAAACCAGACAGACAGGATTTTATAACCATGTTAATTGTAACTACGCCGTGCAAGATTTTTAAATTAATTTATGCACCTCTCAATTACCTTTGAGACTTTTCTCGATGGTGTCCATTAGATCTAGACCCTGCTAGATGGTGTAACTAAATTATAGCAGACCCGGCAGACCTACATATTTTGTTCAATGACCTAAAACGATGCAGATCTAGTTTTTGTTTTCGCTTAAATCTAGCAGTAAGCCCAATATTAAAGACAACCAATGTGCTTTGGTTATTTCATTATAATGCAATGTGTAACTTTGTATTGTAGATGTGACTTGCCAAGGTGGCTTTAGATTTATGTAATTTTGTAAATAAAATCTTGAAATCAAAAAAAAAAAAATATATATATATATTAAAGTACTTCAGTATATATTTACTAGCCGTCCTGGATAGGCCCTGCACTGGCCTCTGTGAAAAACCTATCTGTAAAGGACCATGACTTGTGTATTTATTAAGCAATATATACACCCGGCGTTGCCCGGGCTTAGGAAATATATCACTTTTGGAATTAACCCTAAACTAAAACACAACAAAGCCAAATGAAAACCCAAACCGAAACAAACTTAAACACAAAAGAAACAAAAACTTTAACACAAATAAAAATGCGAACTCTAATGTAAACATCAACACAAACACAACGCAAGAACAAATACAAACACAAAGCTAAGTGCAAACAATAGTGCAGAGCTTAAACACTAACTTAAATGCTAACATAAACCTGACAGTCGCCATAACGCTCACGGGAAAGCCAAGGGGCGCCAAACAGGACATGTGGTGGGCGCCTGAGTATGTCCTGGATTGGTTTTAGTGAACGCTTATAGTAACCCTTTTTATTCACATCCAACCGCACTCTTTAAAATGAACGTACGCAACATAGTGCTCACAGGATAGCCCGGGCGTAAATCGCACCCTGTAGGTGCGCTGGCGGACATGCCTGATTCAATTGAGTGAATGACCGTGACATTCCATCTTATCCGCAAACGAAAGTTAAAAGTTAACATTCCTAACATTTAGGAACAGCTACTAAGCTGTTATTGATTTAACATAATAATTGGTAAACAGAACATTAAGTGTATAAAATAAATAAAAGGCAGTATTTAAAATACCTCGGTTTTATTTATCACATTGCACTTTAGCAATCCATGCTAATTATATAATTGTTTTTTTTTCAACAAAAAAAAACTAATAATATTAATAAAAAACTATTATTTTTTCCCCAATGTGCCTAACGGAAATATTTTTATTTTTGGTGATCTATCAAGGAAAGTAATTGGTGCTGATTTTTTTAATTAACAGGGTCATAAAAATTGCATTTTAAACAAATATTTTTTCTTTCATTGAAGTTATTATTTTCTTAATACAAAAATGGACAAAGTATCCAAAGGTGCAAGAAACCCAATATGACAAAAAAAATCAGGGATTTGGTAATTTTTTAATGTGCATATTGCCTTAAGGACGAGAAAAATGGCCCGCTGAGGAAGGATACAACGGGCGCTAGGTTCATAGTGCTGTCTATTTTCTCGGTACTTTAATTTATACAAAATATAGTCATAGGCATATCCCTAAACCATGCACCTAATCTCATTCATAACAAAAGTCGCATTTAGAGTTTCTTTCAGGCAACTCTACTTGGGAGGAGGGGGTTTGCCCCCCCCCCCCCCCCACACCCCAAAACATGTCTACTGTCCCATTCAACGAAATATAATTATATACTTTTTCCAGTGTCCGCCCCCTCCCAGAAAATTCTAAAATTCTACCCCCGTCCCCGAAAATTTCAAGTACCCCCACCCCTCTCCAGGGAGGAAAAAGTCTGAAAGAAACACTGGTCGCATTTGTAGATCATACAAACTAAAGGAAGAATCTGGGCGGGGTTTCGCCCCTACCGGAAGAGATGCTTGAAAAAAAAAACTGCATGCTAAACACTTTTTAGATTAGAAAAAGTTCCCCCCTCCAGGGAGGAAAAAGTCTGAAAGAAACACAGGTGTCGCGCTTAGCCACTACCCGAAGAATTGCATTAAAGAAATTGCAAGAAAACCACTTTTTAGATTAGACACATTAATTAGGCGGTTATTTCATTATAGAGTATCGATGAAGAAATTTCTTTTGAGTTCTTACGCGGGGGTGGGGCTTCGCCCCTACCCGAAGAATTGTATGAAAGAAACTCTTAAAGCAAACCACTTAGATTAGACAAAATTGTCTTTTTATTCAATGTTTACTCGAGAATCAATGACGTCATATTACTCCGGCTTGATACTATTTTCCACTATATGCTAAATGTGACGTCATATTTCGTTTTCGTTTCATTGTGAAAGTTTTTAAATTGCTTGTGTTTTCTCTAAAGCGTTCTTGTCAGATACATACATACACAGATAGATAGATACACAGACAGCGTAACTATTATATAGAATAAGGAGGTGTGATGATACTTTTATATGTTTCAAACAATACACATTTCGACAATGTGTAATTTGTTATTTAATGCATGAAATAGTATTAATATTTTATTTACTTGGGTGGACTTGGAGCCTGGATAAAATATTAATTCAAACTGTCACTTTTGTTTTAATGAACATGCCAGCATAGCATACATTATCCAAGGGTTACAACAAAACTTGGTCCATGTTTACTCATCAAGATTCAATACTAATCAATTTAAATAAGGCATTACCAAATGCATAATTTGAAATTTTTACAAATAGCTGGTTCCATGCTTTAATTTATGGTAGTTCAAAATGAAAATAATTTTACAGGTGGCAAAATAAGATTCCTGTCATCTGGTGCTAGGGCCTTGGACTATGTCAACGTGTGAAAAAGTACTACGCCCTATGAAAAGGCAAAATAAGGAATGGATTTCAGCAGATACTCTGAAAATTGAGAGAAAAATGAAGAAGGCAACATTAAACAACAGTCTTCTAAATCAAAAGCCCTGGAAGAATACACTGAAACAAACAAAAAAAAAGTGTCAAGAAATGCATAAGGAAAGACAAACTGAGTTATTTAGAACTGCTTTCAAGTAAAACAGAAGAAGCACTGTACCATGGGAATATTAGGGACGTGTTCAATACAATTAAGAAGATATCTGGGAAGATCAGTAAGCCAGAGAGGCCAGCAAAGACAAAAGATGGAAAGATAATAGCTGATGCAAAAGGAACAGAGGAAGAGATGGGCAGAACATTTTGAAGAACTACTGAATAGACCAACACCAGAGTGCATGCAAGATATATACCACTAGCTGAAAGTGATCTCCCTATAGAATGCAACCCACCTTCAAAAGAAGAGATACATAAAAAGCTATAAAGCAGCTGAAAAATTGGAAGGCTCCAGGAATAGATGGTATACGGGCAGAAGCACTGACAGCAGATATAGAAACTAGCACCACACTACTTGACACACTCTTCAAGAAAATATGGGAAGATGAACAAATACCAGAGGAGTGGAAGGAGGGACTACTAATAAAGCTTCCAAAGAAAGACGATCTTAGTGCATGCTTTAACTATATAGGGATAACACTTTTGTCCATCCCAGGCAAAGTCTTCAACAGAATATGATTAAACCGAATGAAGGAAGCGATAGACCCCAGCTTTGAGATCAACAGGCGGGCTTTAGGAAGGAAAGGTCATGCGTAAACCAAATTGCTACTCTGTGCATCATCATTGAACAGAACTCATCTCTCTAATTTCACAGATTACAAGAAGGCCTTTGATAGACCGTCAATGTGGAAATTGTTGAGACACTATGGGGTGCCAAAGAAAATAGTCAACATTATTATGTATTCATATGAAGGTCTGAAATGTAGAGTAGTGCATGGCCAACAGACTTCGGAGGCCATCCCAGTACAGACCAGAGTAAGGCAGGGTTGCCTACTTTCACCATTCCTGTTCCTGCTGGCCATAGACTGGATTATGAAGATGTCAACAGAGAAAAAGCTAAACGGTATACGGTGGACACAGTGGAGCCAGCTGGATGAGCTGGACTTTGCTGATTAAACCAACAGTGTTTCTAATTTTTCTACATGCCTGGGCCTGAACATCCACAGAGAGAAAAGTAAAGTTCTCAAAGTTAATGCATCAAACCGCACCCCTATAACATTGGCAGAAGAAGCCCTAGAAGAAGTGGATAGATTCACCTACCTTGGAAGTATTGTTGATAAGCAGGGCAGGACAGAAGCAGACATGAAAATAAGGACGGGCAAGGCAAGAGCAGTCTTCAACCAACTAAAAAATGTTTGGGGTTCTGGAGATTTAACCCTTGGAATAAAAATCCGGATCTTCAACACACTAGTCAAACCTATTTTACTCTATGGGGCTTGAAACCCCAGGCTGCCATGACACGGACGGTGCAGTTGCCTATGTTAACTTGGTTATGTAGACCTAATGAAGGTCTACATAGCCATTTATGGCTTAGACATTTATGAATTTGCCCTATACAGAGTTGCAATAAAGCCAGTATCTAACAACCAAAGTGTCGTTTTGTGTTATCTCTCAGGGTCAGCCTTTTTAAACACTACATCTCAGTGGGTGATATCATCCCTACTGAGGCAGTGTTACATTTTGGCGCCCAACGTGGGGCTTCATCTTGAGAGAAACATGGACAGCAACCATCGAATGTTGAAGTTGTCACAGTAGCTGGCTGAGCTGACGGCTAAGATGGCGGAGCTACACGCAGGTGCACAGCGGCCCGTGACGATGGAGGTGTGTACTCCAGTACACAACAGACTGAACGTGTTCACCGGCCTTCCACTAACTAATAATAATTGTGATTAATGAAGTTTTCTTGCAAATGCAAAATAGATTGGTAGTAACGGTATCAAGTTTCATTTTAGTAATGTCTCGTTTTATTTTTATCTATGACTAAAAGTATACCAATAAAACACCAAAACTGAAATTAACCTTAATTTTACTGTCAATTTATAATTAAAATTATATTAATGCTAAAAATATATGCATATGAAATAAAATATTCTTATGTAAAAAGTATACGGGGTCAAAGTGACGCACCTTGTAGTCGAATACAGTGAAATAAGAGATAAAAACTTAAATAAGAAAAGTTAATTAACTCTACCATAATGTTGTGTGCTAACAAAGAACTTAGGTCAAAATATCCATTGTACCAATTCTATTACTATTTGCATGAAGCTCACTGCAGCTACCAATTTTAAACAATCCTGCTCCAAAAGTTTTTGCTTAAAATGAATAATATACATTGTACAAAACATAGTATAAAGAAAGCATACCATTTCTAACCACTTAATAATACAATCTGAGTGGTAAAGATGATCACAGGGAAGCTTCCTTACTTCTATGCCAAGTTCAAAGTCATCCATACAAATAGAACACTGTAGGGTTTTTTCTGGGGGAAAGTAAAAAAAAAACAATTCCTAAAAATTGTTCTCATGCTCTGATGGTATTTACTAACTTTTTTGTAATGTAAGCACCAGAATATCACGATTTTATTTTTTATTTGATCACTTCTCTTTATTGAACCAACTTTCTAGTGATTTTACTATAGTAATTACTCTGCCTTCTATAGTTAAGTTACAATATTTTACTCTTTAAAATCATAAAACTATAATTATAAAGACCTATTTAATGGTAGATAAACACAAAAAATGGTATTATGGATTCCCATGGGTGACTTTATAAAAATGTTACAGCCAAGTATTGTAATCGTCTTACAACTCAGTACTTTATCATACGGAGTATAGGGGACTTATTTTAATCAGGCAGAAATTATAAATGCAGATTTATCAAAATTTTGGCATTCTATGTGTAATCAAGAAAAACTGGGATTTGCAATTCTGTCTGAATGTCTGTGAACACGATCACTTGAGTACCGTTACAGCTAGGTTCATGAAATTTCAAATATAAGTATTATATCAAATTTGTAGTTCTGTATAAACTTTTCAGCAATTTCCAATAACCGGAAGTGGAACTTATTCTTCTTATAGTTTTTCAAAAGCCTATAACTTGAGTACTGTTGCAGAAAGATAAACAAAATGTCATATATAAATGATCTAATTCTCTGCCTTTTGTCAAATTTTGAGCAATTTCTGTTGACAGGAAGTAGTACTTTACGCTATTTCTGATTTCTAATAAAAAAAAAAAAGCATATGAATTTATAAAGTACCAGTATTCCGCACTATTATACACATATTGTTTGCCTTCACTTGATGCGCAATTCTTTTTTCTACAAGATTCTCTCCTATTTTTAAAAAGTTTAAGTATGTAAAAACTGATTAAATGTAAATAAGTCAGTTTATGTAGCTATGTGCCATGGGTATGCTAGTCTATCTATATATATAATTCTCTTCTGGGAGACGCTAGAAAACAAGCTGTTAGCGCGCCTAGCAGTCCCCATCCTTCCTCTATAGGCATATTAACCCCCCCCCCCCCCTGGTCTGGTGAGCTGTGGTTCACGCTAAATGTTTACAAGCGTAGAGACAGGTTTAGTGACGGCTATTAGGGGCAGATAATTTAGTCTGAAACTATTTTAAACTTAGGGGAGGTAACTAAGAGGAGGCTGCTTTCACGAGGAGGAGGAGGGGGGGGGGGGTAAGGAGGGTTTTAGTGTTTTAAAGCAAATATATTTTCAGTGGCAGCATTAGTACTGTCGAATTCACAAATTATGAATGACTGAAAAGTAGAAAAAACAACAACTAAATAGCGGCGTATGATATGCCGCGGGTCGGCTCGTATAAGTATAAAAATTAAAGTATATTTGTTTGTTTGTCCTTAATGTATTACTACACCTTTCATCCTATTGCCATGAAACTTTGGGAAGTGGTTGATAATATTCCTGGAAGAGTATCTGCAGAAATTTTTTTTAAATTATGCAAGGGCGGGACCCCAGTATGGTGCACTTTGATTCTTCTCTAAGTAGAGAAGAATCAAAAGTCGATTGCAGTTTGACCCCGTTCATCCGATCGCCATGAAATATTGGGGAGTTGATTATAACACTCCAGGGGAGGGTTCTGCAAAAAAGTATTTTTTATTTTCCAAGGGCGGTGCGCTGGGAGGGTGTAATTTTTCTATTTATATGGGGTGTGCTGGGCGGTAGTGCAGGCAAACCAATGCCCTAACAAATATGATCCAAAAAATATAGGGCAGGCATGGTTTACCTTTAAAGGTCACACGTCAAAGAATATAGGATTGGGAACGCAATGATAAGACTGTCTTAAAATATTACATCCTCTGTACTCACCCCTTTAAATGAAAATACTATTTTTGATATAGTTAAAAAAGAAACCAGACATTTTATAAAAAGCCTTTGCATTCTAAAGGAAAGCTAAAACATAGGAACTGTTACTTAAAACCAAAATGGTACTTTTAAAAAATAGTGAACTTAATCAAATGTTCTATTAAGGTAGTCCATGAAGAGTTATTCCTTTATTATTTTTTTTTGGCCTTTTTTTGGGAACAAACAGAACAGCATGGCCAGGTGGCAAAGCGCTCGACTGCTAACCCGAAAGTGTTTTCGGATTCCAGGCCCAAGTAGGTAAGAAGCTCCTGAAACCCACCCAGATGATAGTTAACTGCAGCATGTTGAGAATATCGCTGGCACTACCCAAAAAAGCAATAAAGACTAATTATTATTATTTTGTGTGGGAACCCTGTGTGAGGAGTATAATACTCACTGTATTGTAATTGAGAAACTAGTGTTGGTTAAGTTAACACAGTAGCAGGCTCTTAAGTAAAGGACAAACGACCCACTGTACCCACTGAATCTCTCGCACCACAAATATTATGCCAATTTCATGAATTATTAGTGTTAATTTTACAATACCAATGTGAGTCTGATCAATTTGGATTTTTTCAAGGCTTTCTATTTTTTCCTTTTGAGCAGGTGGAGCACCAGTACCTTCCAAATGATTTAGAAGCTGTTTAAAAAAAAACAGAAACATTAGAAATGTTGTTAGTTAAATTTATGATTTTACATCCAGCTTAAGTCACAATCAAGATTACTCAAACATAAATTTGTGTATTTGTGCTCAAAAATGCAAACCAACCAACAAATAGGACTATAAAAGTCAATTGTGTTTGATTCTTAAGTATATAAGACCATATAAAATCGTGCATACTTTAATATCTTTTTACCAATGCTCTAAGGCAGGGGTCTCCAAACTACGGCCAGGGGAGATGTTTTTGTCTACGGAGAAAAATACGGAAATTTACGTGTAAACTACCAAGATCAGCCACCCTTAGGTTGACGCTATCTTTTTACAGATTTAAAATAGAGGCGGACTGTAGTGTGTTATGTTTTCCAACCAATCAATACATTATAAAAACTTATTGCTAAAAAGTGGCAAACAGTTTACAGATGGTAAAGTGATAAAGGAATGTTTGTTGGAGATGGCTGAGGAACTTTGCACAGAAAATTCAAAACAATTTGATAAAGTAGCCTTGGGTGCAAGTACAATTGCTCGCCCTGTTGCAGACATGGGTAGAAGCATTTGTGTCGCAAATAGTGAAAAATGCAAGCCAGTTTAGCCATTTTTAAAATTGCAATAGACGAGTCGCTGGACAGCTGTTACACCTCTCAACTGCATGTGTTCATTAGAGGTGTGGATGAAGACATGAACATGACACAAGAGCTGGCTTCCCTACACAGCATGTTTAGCACTATTACCGGAGAGGATATATTCAATGAGTTAAAAAAAAACCTTTGCTGATAATAACATGGACTGTTAATGGAGGAAAGTACATAAGTAGCATAAAGAAAGGCTTGGTAGAACAAGTGAAGCAGATTTTTAATGAGAAATATATTCTACAACCTGGACTGTATTATTCACTAGCAAGTTTTGTGTGCTTAATATGTGAACACTAGCATTGAAGATGCTGTGAAGATGGTGAATTTAATAAGGTCACATGGGCTTAACCATAGAGAGTTTAGTGACATGTTGAGAGATACAGATTTGCAAGATTTATTATATTACACAGCAGTAAAATGGCTAAGCTGTGAGCAGAGTATTTCAGTAAAGAGAGGAAATAGGTGACTTCCAGGAAAGTAAAGGCAAGCTACAAGTTTTTGCCAAAGAAGACTTGCTTAATGCCAAAACTTTTGGATCAAGTTACCTTTCAATTTTTTGGGAACAACAGACCTGTGTTAACAAACATTTTCAAGAATGAAATACATGAAGAGCAATTTGAGATCAAACTTGTCCGATGATAATCTCAGGTCACTGTTGATGTTAGGGACATCAAATCTAAAGCCAGAAATTTCTGCTGTTCTGGCATCTAGGAAACAATTTCACCATTCCCACTAATACAATGATATGCTTTTCAGTGTAATGTTATTAAATAATTACCGAATAAAATATATTAAATAGTTAAAAACAACATCAATGTTTTGTGTTTTGATTCTTTTTTATTTGGACCTCGAGTGTGTTGTCGGCCCACGAACTGCATATTTGATTATTAATGCGGCCCTCTGGGTGAGAAGTTTGGAGACCCCTGCTCTAAGGGCATGACCTCTTAATTTAGCTACTACCATTTATCATGTGATTTAGAGGCTGGACAAAGCCAAGTTAAGAGTCAAGAAAAGAAAAAATCCAAAGCTTTGATGGGTAGAGTTGGATACCATGGCTGGGAGATTGTCTTATCAAATCATAGTAGTTATTTCATTTTTTAAATAACATTGGTAGCACTATATTATCAAGTATGAATTAAAGGGTCATGAACCTGACGTGTTTAGTTCAATTTTTTTAAAATGGAAGTTTAATTTGTGTGTGGTAAATTCAATTTTTTAATAGACATTTAATTTGTATAGACCTGTCTAGAACAACTATTTTAGATGACTTAATGTTTGTCTGGTGATGCATGTCAATTGACTTGGAAAGTAATCAAAAGTTTTGCTGGGCTTCAGCCTTATCCACAAATGGATCAGCAGATATGGTCAATGACCTCAGCAATCAGGCATAATTTTTTTACCTTGTTTGGCCAAATTTAAAAAAAAATCAATTGAAACAAAAACAATATTTAGAAATAATAATAGTAAGTCATGTGAGGAAAACTGATTACAATATGGGTAAAAATAAAAAAAGTGACAATTACTTAGACTCTAATGCTGACTTGACAACCCACACCCTCAAACTTTAAGATTCATAATACGATCACAGCAAACCAGATCTACAGATCTAGCTTACATACTAGTGCAGGGGTCGGCAACCTGCGGCTCGCGAGCCACATGCGGCTCTTTTGATATTAAGATGCGGTTCTCCAGCTCCTTGAACAAATACTAATAATTTTAATAAAAAAATAAAATATTTGGAACAAGAAAAATGTTTGTGGCTCTTTAAAACCAGGGAAATTTTGAAAATTGTAACTTTTGGCTCTTCCGCTTCAAAAGGTTGCCGACCCCTGTACTAGTGTACTGTTTATAACAATATTTGTTCTAATTCTAAGGTCTAATTAAAGAATAACCCTTTTTTAGTTGGAAAATACAGAAGTAGTGAAAGTTTTATTTACAAAATCAAATTATAGACAGTTTTAAAAACAACAGAAAACAAGTGATTTTCCAATCTGTAATTTACTTTTCTTAGTTTGAATATGCTTGCTAATGAATTAAAACATTTTTATTACCTGAGATATAATAGCATCAAGACCACCAGCTCCCCAAGCATAGTCTCCAGGATTACTGTGTAAAATTCTGTTAATAAGTATCAACATATTTTTTTAAAAATCACCTATATAGCTTTACATATTTTTTATACAAGTTTATCAACATTCAAGGAAAATGGAGTATTATGAATATAACAGAGAACAACCAACTGACTGACAAAAGAAGAAAGCAAAATGTTTTTGACAAGACAGTGGGGAGGGAGGGGGGGGGGGGGGTTTGCAGTGATGGCAGGAAAAATTTAAGATTTTCACTTTTGTTTTTACACTTAAGTTTAAAGACCATTAGATCTATGCCCTAATCTAGACAATTTTTCAATAGAGCTACTGAAGTCTACAAGTTAAGAAAAATCGCACCTTTTTAGTATGCAAAAGTTTCAAAATTTGTTTCTTATTTACCATAAATTTTTTTTGCTATGAAACTCATCACAATTCCCTCATGACAAATGCTTTTTTTTTTTGCATGAAGAACAATTACTGAAAATATGGTATGAATTGTTTTATAAAGACTGTGAACTGAGAAAAACAAAAAGCAGGTCACAAAAATACCACTTCTGTGTAATTTGTAAAGCCGATTGTAAGCTTAGGGTGTTTACAAGATAATGGAAAATACGATTTACAAATACATGAAAAATCCAGCTTTCCAAAGATGCCAAATACAATATGATGACCAATATTCAAATATTTATAGAGAGCTTGTAAGATTGGGAAAAAATGCGAAACTAAATCCCCTTACCCCCTTTTATTTTTGTATACTGTACAAAGAGGAAAAACAAATAGCGCCCTAGAACCCCCCCCCCCCCCCCAAAGGAGTATTTTCAACAACTTCCCAAGTTTCATGTCGATTGGATGAAAGGTGTAGTGATGCATAAAAGACAAACAAACCAACACATATTGCTTTTTATAGATTATTACACACTACAACTTACACAGGATTACGTCCAGCAATATCGCTGCCAAGGCGTTGTATTACATAGTTGATTATTCTGGAAATCATTAATTAAAATACACTTCATTAAAATGACGTGATAAAATATCAAACAGAGTTATGTTACAACTCACCAAGATAAACTGATAACGTTTGAAATAGACAATTTACTTACTGAACTGCTAACTAGAACTTGATAAATAGTATATAAGTATTGGATTAAAATAAAAAAATAAAAAGATTACTAGGCATAAAAGTAAGACTATATAAAATAAATCATGTGGTAAAGTAATATTATATATGCCAGCATCTCTAATGTGGTAATCAACACATTACATCCAGAGTGCTAGAATAATAATGTCAACAACATGGGTAATCAGCGTGTTTGTAGTTGACTTTTATTCCAAAAATTAAATTGAAACATGCTACTTATATTGCAAAACATAAGCATTAAAATCAGCCATTGCTGCAACACAGTTCACAAGGACATTTTATGGAAATAAAGAAGAAGATTTAGACAATTTTTCTTATTTAAACCATGCCTCCCATGTAATAGGCTTTACTGCATGTTTTATTTTAACCCTCACTGTATGTCGTGGGTGGAATCCACCTGGATATCTTAATAAAGAGAAAAACAATGTAGACATTATATACATAACCAATAAAAAGTAGATGTGTATTGCTGGAGGGGCCGTTTCTACGTTACTATAACAACAATACCACTACCATATTTATTATTAACATGCAACATATTCGTCCATTCATGATGTGACGTACAGTGAGGAGGGTTTTTACAGACTTTTGTGACAAGTAATTCAAGGATAAAGGTAGCCTGTCACTACTTTTTTTACCGCCGTTATGGTAATGATTGCTGCCACAAATGACAATACCATGATTCCGTTTTTTAAACAATGTTTCAATGATCATTTCAGTAATATATACTTAAAATCTTTTTTTTTTGCATATTCTTCAACCATACCGGTCTAGTTTTTAAATGACCATTAGTGTTTGATACAAACTTGCCATTTGTACGTTTTTTGGTCAAATCACTGAGAATATTGAGCTGAACATAATAAAGGTAAGCAAAACGTGAAGTGCTTTATTTAATATTGTTCTAAACATACTGAAAATATATTCTAAACTATAGTATAGAAAATTATAACTTGCTTTCTATTAAATTAATGTCATTAATGTTTTAAAAATCATGCTGGGTAAAAACAAAACCTATAAAATAACTTGATCAAGACAACAGCTAGCTAAGCCCGCCCATTTAGCTCACCATGTATTTGAATGGGGAGAAATCTAGCAAACAACACATTTCTGCTGAATGGCAGTAAACGGTCGGTCAATAGCGTCATAAGAACACTCCTTAATAAACCGGAGTGATCTCCACTTTTCTTTCTTGAATATTCTTCTAGAACACAATGGGGATGGCAACTCGAGATATAGACAAGATTTTTAATCAGGTTTTACATACTTAAACTTTTAAAAAATAGAATCTCGTAGAAAAAAGAATTGCGCACCAACCAAACAACAAACAATATGTGTTAAATAGTGCGGAATAATATTATTCCTTATTAAATTAATATGCGTTGTTTTGAGAAATCGGAAATAGCGTAAATTACTACTTCCAGTCTACACAAATTACTCAAAATTTGAAAGAAGGCAGCCAATTAGATCTTTTACTTGTATAAGAAATTTTGTTGAAAAGTTGATACAGAACTACAAATTTGAATAAGATAGTTCATCAACCTAACTCTAACGGTACTCAAGTTATCGTGTTCACTGACATACACACAGACAGAAAATTGCAAAGCCCAGCTTTTCTGTCATGATTACATATAGAACGCCAAAATTTTGATAAATCTGCATTTATAATTTCTGCCAGAATAAAATTAGTCCCCTATACTCTGTATATGATGAAGTACTGTGGTGTAAAACATTGAAAACTCCCAAAATTCCTCTATACTGTGTATATGAGAAAGTAAAAAACAAACTAACTATTACTGAAAATCAGTTATATCATCGTGGCCATTTAAAAACAAATGAGTTTTTTCACAAATCATTTCCTAGGCTACCGATTAAAAATCGGTATGAAATATAAAGGTAAATAAATGTAGTTTTTAACTGTTTAAGTCATCTTGAACAATAATGAAGTTTAAAATCTTAAGAGACACCCTAGATAAAGGGGTCAGGGGTTAAAGAAATATAGCATAGCAGCATTTTAGTACTTCTTTAAAAAAAACAGATGATAAGCAAGTGTTAATTTTCATTATTATGCTTTATGATACTTTATAAAATTTACTTGGAATTTGACCGTTAAAGGGATGATTAAACAGATTCAAAAAACAATTAAGCCATTAAAAGGGAATATAGGCCTATCTGGAAAAAATACTACCCAAGATATTAGTAGTAATAGTAGTAAAAGATAAATAAAGGAAACAGCAGATCTCAACAAGCAGAATCAATAATTCTCTATGTCACCCAACCATGTGGGATACCAAGCACACAGACTATCTAACCCTCCTCCCACCCCCTCCCTCACTCTCCAGGCATGCGCATTAGTGTGTACCCACACACCCCATTTGTATAACTGTGTCTTTCAGGAAGTCTTCAAACGTCACTAAATAGTGGCTAAAGCGGGTCAGCTTGTAATGCATAATTAGTGCATAAATACTGTGAAAAGCAGAGATCCCAATTTGAGAAAATAAATCTCAAAGATGAACTGCTTGAGAAAATAAGAACCTCAAAATAGAGACACCAATTGAAAGAAGGTGTAGAATAATTTTTAAAAATATGGCAGATGAGCAAATATTTAAAAAAGAAAGAATCCCTTACAATGAATGTGAAAAGAATAATAACATGATAATGTTGTAACAAAGTAATTATTAACAAAAATACAGTGGACTCAAATGCGAACCATTATGCTTATTTGCAAATATTGGCAAGCTAAACACTTTAAAGCAGAACAAAAAAATCCACTAGGTGTTGTCAAAATAGGGAAATTTAAATTATACTCTATTCCTACATCTCCTTTGTAACAACAATTATAAAATTTCATTATCATCATTCAAACAATTTTCATGAAAATGTATTAATTATTCAATCTTTCTACTGATAAGTAACCACAACAGTAGTCTACAACATGCACATAGATTATATATCCTTAAAACAAAGGAGCTTGTTTTAGTTTAATTTCTGGTCCCTGTAAAAGTTGATTTTCCAGCTTAATTATTGTTTCCAGTAAAACTTGTTCAAGATTTTCAGTTCCAGTTCAGAGGTTTAAGTTTTAAGATTTAGATTGATGTGTAGATATTGGTTTTAGTTTAGAGGAAAAAAGATGGCTCTGTTTGTCTAAATTTCAATATCCATATCCAGTTCAATTTCCAGATATGGTTAAATTTCAGGATTTGGTTAAATTTCAAGATACGGTTTAAGTTCTGTTTCTCAATAAAGTTTATACTTTAATTTCATTAAGATTTCAATTTCAATATGTTCAATTGACCGTTTGAGTTATAGTTCCGGTTAAAGTTACAATTCCAATAAATTTTCAGTTTCCAATTTAACTTCCAGTTCCATTTGAAGTTCAGATTCAGGTTGAATTGTTATTCAAGTTCAGTTTCAGACTTAAGTTTTCCAGCACTGGATAAAGTTGTTTGTGTTTCTACAAAAATTACCATTTCTGTTTTTATTTTGGTTGCGGATAAATTTCTGGTACTGGTTTGAATGTTTAGGTTAAGATGAAGGTTGAGAAATCCGTTTTGGTTTGGTTTTAATATAAGCTCATGGTTGCTAAACCGAAACCGAAAGTCTAGAGTTCGAAAACTCTGGCAGATGAGGCTAGTTAGCTGGGGACAGACACTCTTCTAGGAGAGACAACTCCAAACTCAAACAACTGCTGCCTCGTAGTTTGTTCTTGACTGAACAAAGGCTATGGAAGCAAATCCAAAATGAAAAGCAGGCTGAAATCAGAGTCAACAGCCTTAACGACGCATCACCAGTTGACACGTATACTTAATTGTGTTGTAGGGAATCCATTCCAACACTAAAATTAAGAACAAAGACGAAGAAGAAGAGAGAAACTGTATATTTGAGTGGGTTAAAATACAATAGAAAAATTAGGCTATATCAATGGCTAGATTACCAGGCTTGGGAGATGTTTCATTTGAAGAACTGCATTATTTTAAATTACTTCTTCCTGTGTTTTTGATAAAAATTTAGAAAATTTGGGCTAAAAAAAATTAAATTATTCATATTTTTAGTTTTATCATAAATTAAAAATAGATGTAAATGCCCTGCTATTCAAAGAAATGCCATGCTATTTTTCAAATAAATTTCCTCGCAAAACCATTAAACATAAACATGCCAAATTTTATTTAATTAAACCACAAAAAAGTAAACATTTTTAAGGGGTGCCACTCATTTTTAAAGTGAATCATATCCTAAATTTCAATCCCAAAACTGAAATTTTAAAACCCTAAAACTTGATGTAGCATCAGAAATTTAAAAAAATAAAAAATTCACTTTTTGAGACATTTGATATATATTATTTTATACATTCCTTTAGTGATTTTTACTTTACAACAATCTTACACAAAAATTAATATTTAAAGGATTGTGAAATATTAAAAAAATTGTTTAAAATCGTCGACTCATCTTTATCCCATAATCTAATGTTATATTTCTAGAGCTTCCCCAAATACAAAATAATTAATATTGATATTGTGAGTTAAGCTGATAGTAGTCACACTTTAAAGCTACTTAAAAAAGTTGTAGAAATGTACACTGCAGTTTGTAACATATCTAAGTATTTAATTTTAGCACTTCCTATATTGAGTTCAATAAAGTGTGTAGTCAGCCCTATGTGTGCAGTTATTAAAACAAGCAACAAACTTTAAACAGCAAATATTTTGCTTAAAGTTTGAAAAATCCCCCTCATGCTATTATTGTACTAATTAATACCTTATTATTGCTAATATCTAAAATAAAAGAAATTTCTGTTACTATGAACTAACACTGAAAATTGTTCTTTTTTTAAAGTTCACAAAATTGAAAATAGTTTTTTCAAAATTGAACTTATTTAAACTATAATGATCATTTGCAATGTTTCTAATTTTATGATTCTAGCATTTCTTGGAAGTACCTGTATTTTTTTTAAACTTACACAAGCCTAATTGTAATTTTTACATTTTTGTTTGCTAGACAATGAGATCAACCAGAATAATTAAGATTAGATAGATTCTAGGGGGGTATTTTTTTAACTCAAATAAAAAATAAAATAGTTGAAAAAACCCACATCTGAGCCAAGCACACCTATAATCATAACGATAGTAAACACACATATGTATGTTTTTCAAATGGCCTCAGACTGTTGTTAAAAATTGACGGTATTGCATCCCCCGAAGTAGACATAATGGTGAGGTCATTATGAAGGCCTATTTGAGATAGGTGATGTCACTTTAACCTCCTATTCTTCCCCTCCCCCTCTAAAAAAAACCCAACAAACAAGCCTATCAACACATGGGCCAACTTGTGGTCACAGTGAGTTTAAGAAAGACCTATTTACTACAGTTGTTACAACTTTTATCTCCCCTCTCCCCTGAAATAATTGTAACTGACCATTCGCATTGTTACAATTTTCATCTCCGTTCTTCTTGAAATAATTGTATTTGACCCAAACGAATTCGACATTGTTGGTGACGACAGTGGCCTTTTTTTTCCATGAACGCAAGAAACACTGGCTTTTGCAAATTCGTCTTCTTTTTTTAAAAATCTGTTTCTCCCAAATTCAGTATCACTAGCTAACCGTGAACTAGTCTGCTAAAACGGTTTTCCTTAAAAAATTGATGTTAATCAAGACTGTAGTCACGCGCAATCCTTTAGTACAGGGGTCGGCAACCTTTTGAGACGAAAGAGCCAAAAGTTACATATTTACAACATTACCCGGTTTTTAAAGAGCCACTAACTTTTTTATGTCAATAGTATATTTGTTTAGGAATTATATATATATATATATATATATATATATATATATATATAATCCTAAGCAAATATAATACTATATATATAATATAAAATAAATAGCTTTGAAAGTATGAAATAATTTCATTTGAATTTGTGTTGAGAGGATCTACTATGTAAGTCAGAGTATTTGCATTTGTTTTGAATCGCTCAAATTTCTCAGTGAAAACATCCTTCATTTTGTTTATATTAATGCTGAAGTGATTGAATAGTAGCATTGGTTTCATAACGATATTCTTTTCAGATTTTTCGTAATTAAGTAATTTACCGCTCACTATGTATTCAACAAAAAAAGTATTTTTTTTTCGAAATAAACCACTTCTTCAAAGAAGACATAGGCTGGGTTTTCAGTTTTACACTTAGCTGGTTTAGTTTCTTTGAGATATCCACGATGAAGTTGAATGTTTCAATTCGGAATGGACAATTTAATAGGAAGTACACTGATATAGGGAGTAACTAAATAGAATAGTGAATGTTTTTTTGTTTATACCTATTGTTATAGCGTTTATTACCGAGCGTTGTCGACTAATATTTTTATGAGTTTTGAAAGTAAAATAAAATTATTAACATTTGTGCATGGAGCTGAAGAGCCGCAACTGGACACCAAAAGAGCCGCATGCGGCTCGCGAGCCGCAGGTTGCCGACCCCTGCTTTAGTACTTTAATAAAGTTTTAGAGCTGACCCGCGACGTAGCAAACGTCGATATCTAGTTGTTTTATTTTCTACTTATCAACAATTCATAATTTGTGAATTCGACACTACCCCACCCCCCCTGCCTCCCCCACCCATCTCAGTGATAGCAGCCGTTTACAGACAACAATGAAAATATCAAGCATAACTTATAATCTCCCCTTAGTTTCAAATCATTTAAAAATTAAATTATCTGCCGTCACTTATTAGAACCAGCTCTACTATTGTAAGCATTCGGGGTGAGCCATAGCTCACCTGACAGGTGGGGATGAGGGTGGTGACTATGCTGCGTGGTGTCTCCTATGGTCCCCATGAAGAGAATTATATATACAGATTTAGGTCCATCTCTACACTGCGAGTTCAAATAAGCCAAAAAAATCAGGTGTAGCCTAAATTTTAAACCAATCCTGGGAAAAAAAAACAATGAAAAACATGACGTCATGCCAATGTTGGGTAACTCTAAGCTAGCATAGCAGTAGACGTACCATGTATGCTTGCGTGATGGGCGGAAAACAGATTAATGGTAAAACGGCACCAAGAGAATCGGCGAGATTAGTTTTGTGCACCAAAACTAGATCACGAGACATGGCGAGACTAGCTATTGGATAGGCCTATACCCAGTCCAAATCTCGCGATACACGAAAGGAAAAAAAACACCTGGGAAGCAAGATTTCCATGTTTTTAAATATATTTCCCAGATATTCATCATACTTCCAGATTTTTCTGCCCGGAAAATTAAATTCCGCAAATCACAGTTTTTCCCCGGTTTCCCGGCTGCATGGGAGCCCTGACTTTATATATTAACTAAAAAATATTCATAACGGAAACCTTTGCAATTTTAAGTAGCATAGAGATTAGAATTGAAAGAAGTCTAAATTTATTAACTAAAATAAATTCTTGGAAAATTAACTACCCTTGTAGGTTAGGAGCTTGATGTAAATCTCCTGTGTTAAAATGAAATACAGCGCTTGGTACAATGCCTCTCATTTCTTCTTCCTCACTGTGCTCCATATAAACATCATCAGAATTCTGAATACTAGGCCGACCCAGGTACAACTGTCTTGGACCCAGTAGTGATCTATTCAACTGAAAGTACGATTGAAAAAGTTAAACAATAGTCCACAACATTTAAAACCTGTACAAAAAACACTTATGTAATATACAGTGGTACCTCAACATACAAGTGCCCGACATACTAAATTTTTTTTAGCGAGCTAAAATTTGCTTTGACATACAGCAAAATTTGAGATAGGAGTAACTGGATTAGTGGGTTTAGCAGTTCATGAAGAAGGAAACACCCAGAAAATATTGCAACAGATTGTGCATCTAAGCTGTTTCATGACACTGACCTAACTAATTTCTGAAACAATCTGAAAGCGAGAAAAAAAACTTTCTTAGGTAGCTCGTTGATAGGTTTACGTTCCATAAATAACATAGACCTATCTCTATTTTTCATCATTTCATGCTAGAAAATAGCTTTAGTAAGGTTACACTACTAAAAGAGTTCATCCTCAACAGCCCTCTGATTAAGCGATCACTAGTATTTTAAAAAAATCTTGTTATCTCACGTTTTATTATTGAATATAGTAATTTTTTAATTAAATTTTAATGTAATTTTATGACGTTTGATTAAAATTTCAATATTATTGTATTGTCCTCCAAGATCTACCACTGTGCCAAATTTTAGCTCACTCGGACATGGTAAGTGGGTTAAATATAGATTCCAAGATTTTCTGAGCCTACACATGCCCACACCACTTCACGCCCTGCACACACCCACACTGAGCAAGCTAAACACAACCCTTTTAACAAGCATTAACAAATGGTAATGGTTATTTCTTGTCATAAGAAGCATGCAATTTCATTGTATGTTATTGCATTGTATTGGGCTTGTAAGTAGGTCACAACTTCTCGTTTTCATACTTGCGAGCTAGCAGATTTTGAGACCGTAGACTTACAAGCCCTATAGTGTATGCTAAATCTAGTCTTTAGTTCCCTCAAGCTCTGATAATAATACGTTTGCTAAATCTAGTTTTTAGTTCTCTCAAGCTCTTATAATAATAATACGAGTTGTGTAAATAAAGTGGTTGTGCAATCACTCCACCGGCATTACATATATAAAAAACATTTTTAAAATAATGATATATTAATTATAACTATCATACTACCTCTGACATCTGTGTAACAGGATCGGAACTGAGGGCATTTGTAGATGAAGGCGGAGGTCTACTGATCATAAAAAAGGAAAATAATAGGATGAATAGTTTCAACTATTAAATCTTGCTAAAATGTATTATCTGAGAATTGATTAGTAAATCAAAGAAAGAAGTGTTGAATAAAATTATAGCTTCCTAAATATATTTAAGTTTAAGTAACTTTTTAACAAATTCTATAGTTGCATGTAAAAAATGTGTTTATGAGATAAAGACAGAAAATGTTTGTTTAAAAAAAAAATTCAAGTAGTATTTTTGTTAGTTTAAAAAAAAAAGCATAAAACCTAAAAAATATACTTTGTTTTTTCAACTATTTATAATTTTTTTTTAAATAATTAAAAAAATAATAATTATATTTTATATATCTAAAAGTCAATATACTTAATTGCTAATAACAGGATTGTATTAAATTGACTTAGTTAACAATAACAATAATTCCTTTCATATTATAAAACATGAAATTTAAATGTAGGAACATAAATATAAGTTTATTTTTATAAATTTTTTTATTAAATAAATTATGTATAATCATTATAAATTAATAATGAACAGAGTTTAACATAATATGGAGCAATAAACACAATTATTTCTTAAATTAGACTCATTATCCACTCTACATGTTTATGGCTCCCAAACAACTACCCCCTCTGCTTGAGATACGTATAAAGAATAACATGGATGAAAACAAATTTAAAATAGTTTTGAAAAAAATAAATAAAGCAGTACTGTAATTAATTTATTTTGTTCTAATACATTGCAGCCATTATTCTTGATGTATAAAGTCAGTGGCTGGTATTGTTCTATACTGTTTTTGGCATTTCGCCAAGAGCATATGGGTACATGTTTCACATTAAAGGGAGAATATTTGTAGTCTGCAAATAAATAGGGAGTCTTTCTATGGTAAAAAATGTCTTCGATTCAGCCTTTGACTCTCACTGCTCCGAAAATAGTGCATATATGAAAGATGTTATCATAGTTTGCTTGATCAGTTCTAATCACAGGACAAAATATTTCAGGACAAAAGATCTCTGAGGAAAAACATCTCAGAACAAAAATCTCTCAGCAAAACAAATAACACTTGGTATTTAGGAAGATATTTTGTATTGAGATATTTTATCCAGGATAATACTTCGAGATCTTGTAGTGATTTAGCTGCCACCCAATTAACATTTAATTTAGTTAATTGTTTTTTTGTCTAGTTGAGCAAATAAACGTATTTGTAGCACTTCGATTATAGAATTAATATGCATTATCGATATATATAATAAACCGGGAATGATCTCCCCTACACTTTCTCGAATATTCTTATATAAAAAAACTGGGGATGGAAACTCGGGCTATAGACATGATTTTTAATCCATTTTAAATACTTAAAGTTTTAAAAATAGAATAAAATCTCGTAGACAAAAGAATTGCACACCAAGTGAACGCCGAATAAAAAAGTGCATAATAGTGCGCAATTTTATTAGTACTTTAAAAATTTACATTAGTTTTTTGAGAAATCGGAAGTAGCGTAAATTACTACTTCCATTCAATGGAAATTACTCAAAATTTAACAGAAGGTAGAGAATTATATCTTTTACTTACATATGTGAAATTTCGTTTATCTATCTGAAATAGTACTCAAGTTATAGGCTTTTGAAAAATTCAAAGTAGAAAAAGTACCACTTCCAGTTATCGGAAATCGCTCAAAAGTGGATACGGATCTACGATTTTGATAAAATACTTTTATATGAAATTTCATCAACCTAGCTGTAACGGTACTCAAGTTATCGTGTTTACACACAGACAGACAGACACACTGACAGAATTACAAAGCCCAGTTTTTCAGACTGGATTACGCATAAAACCTCTTAATTTTGATAAATCTGGATTGATAATTTTTGCCCGATTAAAATAAGTCCTCTATACTTCGGATGTAATGAAGGACTGAGGTGTAATACGGTGAAAATTGTTAAAATTTCAAGTGATTTTTGTGCACGATTACAATACTTTCTCTATACTTTGTATATACGAGAAAGTAAAAATGGAAGTATATTTGTTTGTCCTTTATGCATTACTACTCCTTTCATCTGATTGCTGATAAACTTTGGGGTGTAGATGAGAAAACAGCAGAGGAGGTTTCTAAGAGAAAAAAAAATTCCATTTTACAGGGGCAGCATCCCAGCAAGGTGTGATTCTTCTCTAAATAATTATCATTAAAAAAGTTTAAAAAAACCCACGTTTTCTGATTGAACTAAAAAGTAGAAAATAAATGCTATACATCACAATAATGCAAGCGATCTCTCTACTATAAGTGATGAAAAACGTGGGGCGCCGAAGTAAAAGTTATATTACTATTGATTAGATAAAACTATTGACTTTTATTAGGGAGCTTGTAGAGAGTCAACAGTATTAGAAACTGTAAGAAAATCACGGCACCCCACGTTTTTCATCACTTATAGTAGAGTGATCGCTTGCATTATTGTGATGTATAGCATTTATTTTCTACTTTTTAGTTCAATCAGAAAACGTGGGTTTTTTAAAACTTTTTTAATGATAATTATTTTCTACTTTTTAGTCTTTGTCTGTTTGTTTGCATTAAAATCTTGATATCGATTTTATCTTTTCACATTCACTTTTTTTTTTTGGGTAAACGAAGACAACTCGTAAAAAACACGTGCCTTGAACCCGTGTCGAGTGGGTTAGCAATCGTGTGCCCAACCACTCGACCATATCGTCTCCCCCATACTGGCTACCAGTTGTTCCGGTTGTTTGTACACAAACACCACGTGAACACTACTCAGTAAGCAAAAAGAGGGAGAGTACCGAACCTTGTTTTCATCAAATTACAATGACTGGGTTATGTCCCCTTTTCCCACGGTTTTTGTACAATTATATTGTGGTCTAAAATGATCAATAAAATGTTTCCATGGATCAATTTAGTAATAATAACAATTGAATATTCAATTGTCATCGGTAACAAAGCTTCCCTGAAAATTTCAGCGCGCTAGCTAACTGGGAAGTGCCCGAAATTTCGATTGCAAGATTTAATTGGAAAAACAAACAAACAAACAGAGGCGAAAGCAAGTTAAAGAAAACGTGGGAAAATAGGCGGTATTTAAAAATGAAAGTCGGATGCAGAAGGACACAATTCATCCAAGTGTCATGAAAATTGGGAAGTTGATGAGAATACTCCTGGGAAGGTTCTGCGGGGGAAAAAATTAAAAGTTTCTAAATACACTGTTTGGCGCCCAGATTTCTAGAATGGCTTTCTTAGCACTTGTTATCTGTTGATTGGGCGTCCTGCATAGCAGGTTAGAGGTACTACTTGATTCTATGGTAAAACTGCACCATCTGCTGGCAATTGAGTGACCTAAAGTACTAGGCCTTCCCCATGAGCACTATGGTGCCTATAATAGAATTTTAAAAGTCTTTACGCTAAGGACACGATGGGCAACAATAATCAATAACTATATCCAATCAGATGTGTCCTTTGGCCCCCGGACTCCGCAGTGAGCACTATGGAACTTACATTTATTTAAAGAGCACCATACAATAGGGTGACATGGTAGCATACGACTTTTGATGATTAAACAGAGTAGGGGCCTTACCCAGCGCCACTGCGGTAGTGCAACAGGTGGCTCCCGAGAGCGCCCTAATATGTCCATGTCACCTGGGTGGTCACTGAAGTGTGTTCTACCTCACATTTATTAAAGAACATCCTAGGCTTTTAATTATCTTGACTTTATTTTGTAAAAAATAAACAAATACTTGCATATAGATTGATAAATGTATTATTGTGTTGATAAAAGCAATTATTTTGAATTTTCAAATAATTAAAACAAATTTAATTTTTTTTCTGACTAGCCTTCATCTTACTTGGCCCTTGAGTAGGTTGCTGCTTGACCTACTTTTTTTATAAACTGTTGCCTTGGTTACATTGGTCTCAGAAAAAGAACAATTAACATTTTTATTTATATACAAGGTGCTCATTTCAATAGTATACATTTTGCTTAGTTTTATCTACTAACTTCTATAGTCTACAACTATACTGATCAGCTTAAAGTCTTGAATGTTTATCATGCAATTTTCATACATTATTAGGGACCTAAAGATAAAGTAAGGAATTTTCTAAAATCTCTTTAGACCTAGCAGATGAAGTAGAGTTCATTTGTTTCTTGACCAGCACTATGCCCAGCTTGTATATAAAATTGTTTGTGTAAGATGCCAAAACTTTGGTCATAAATGGTAAATTAAAATAATAAAATTAACTTTGTTGTTATATTCAGCCTTTTTTTTACTTTCTTGTATATACGAAGCATAGAGAAAGTCTTGTAATCGTGCAAATAAAATAAATCGAGATTTTTACAAATCTCGACGTTTTACACCTCACTGATACGGAAAAACAATTTTGCAATCTTGTCCGTATGTCTGTGTGTATGTCTGTCTGTGTGTAAACATGATAACTTGAGTGTTATGATGCATGTTCTGAGTGTAGTTCTGTGCGAGTGAATGTTGGTGCGAAAGGTATGTTGAACGCATGGAATGATGACTGTATAGTGCAACAGTGACAAATTTGTGTAGAGACTGGTTGCTAGGAGTTTGTGTGTGAGTTAGTCTAATCTTGATTATTGGTGTGAAAGGACATGTGCTGGTCCGTATGCCTCAAGTTGGGAGATAGATATATGTATATATAAGAATAAAATGTTAGACTAGGAATATTGAGTTTGCCTTATCTCTGAGCGGCACATATTGGACTGAACGTGAGATAGCCTTATTGATTCCCAAGGTTAGAACTTCTCTCCCTGGTATTGGAGATGAACTAAATGGTAGTTGGCCGAGTCAAGTGACTCAAACCCTCTCGCACAAACCCAAGCGTAACATTGAGTACCGTTACAGCTAGGTTGATGAAATTTCATATATAAGTATTTTATCAAAATCATAGATCTGTATCAACTTTTGAGCGATTTCCGATAACTGGAAGTGGTACTTTTTCTACTTTGAATTTTCCAAAAGCCTAAAACTTGAGTACTATTTCAGATAGATAAATGAAATTTCACATGTAAGTAAAAGATCTAAATCTCTACCTTCTGTTAAATTTTGAGTAATTTCCGTTGACCAGAAGTACTAATTTACGCTATTTCCGATTTCTCAAAAAAACGCATGTAAATTTATAAAGTACTAATACTATTGCGCACTATTATGCACATTTTGTTTTGGCGTTCGCTTGTTGCGCAATTCTTTTTTCTATGAGATTCTATTTTTAAAAGTTTAAGTAATTAAAAATCATGTCTATATTCCAAGTTATATAAGAATATTCGAGAAAGTTTAGGGGAGATCACTCCCGGTTTATTTTTTTTGAGTCTGTTGTCTGTACATTAAGCTTAGGAGCACCGGGATTTTCAAGTCACTAGCTATGGGTTTAATCTGATGTTCAAGAAAATTTCATGTAAATAATTACTTCATCAAGACAACAACAAACTAAGCACATTTTGGTGGCATGTATTTGCAAGGAACCATTTGTGCAAAATGATCATTTGGCTCACAACATTGCCAGTAATTTACACAAGCATTTTCTAGGCTACCTAACTGATATTAAGTTAAGGGTAACCAAATGCAGTTTTAGAGTGCTTATGTTGTCTTATTAAACAATGAAGTTTAAAATCGGAAGTGACACCCTAGCTTTGAGTCAGCTATTGCTTCCACCCCCCCCCCCCCCCCCATTTCACCCAACTTTTAAAGTTTAGTATTATTAATAATTTATTAGCAAGACTAGTTAATTTTGAGTATGTAGATTATTAATAAGTAGATGTTTACCTTTCCATTTCTTCAATGAAACCACTGTTACATCTGGAGCATGTGTAATCCTATATTGGAAAAATATTTTTAAAATGTTTTAAATCATTACTCCTCAATAAAACATTTTACCCTTAAAAATAAATATCAAAATATCAAAACTAGTTATACTATTTATCAATTTTGTTGCTTAACAATCTAGGGATTCAAAAACTAAAAATAGTAGCCTGTCGCTTGACCTACTTTTTTTTTACAGCCGTCATGGTAATGAGGGCTGCCGAAAACAATCATACTGTGATTCAGTTTTTTAACAATGGTTCATGGTCATTTCAGAAATATATACTTAAAATCATTTTCTTGTGTGTATTATTCAAGCATATCGGTCTAGTTTTAACAATGTATGATTAGTGTTTGAGTTTGATGCAAACTTGCCATTTGTACATTTTTTTTATCTAATCGCTGAGAATATCGAGCAGAACATAATAATAGCAAGCAAAATGTGAAGTGCTTTTTATTTAATATTGTTCTAAACATACTGAAAGAACTGCAGTGAGCGGTCGATCACGTCAAAACAAAACTCCTTAAAAAAAATAACCCACCATAACACACAGTAAATCAGTCATATCATCGTAGCCATTTAAAAAACATACAAGTTTTTTACAAATCATTTTCTAGGCTACCAATTAAATTTGATAAATAAAATTGGTATCAAATTAAAGGTAAATAAATGTAGTCTTTAATTATCTAAGTCATCTTGAACAATAATGAAGTTTAAAATCTTAGGCAACACCCCACTAATAGCACTTCACATTTACATAACATTCAAAATGTATGTTAACCACCCTCACTTAACTGAAAAATGTTTTAACATCTCAATACAGTGAGGTATAAAAATCCACATAATTACACAATAGTGTCACCAAAGCATAACATATTTAGTAATTTACTTTCTAGTATTATATAATAAAACAAAGAATGCATTCAAATCTTTACTATTTTCCTATTTAAGTAATTCAAATGGAGTGACCTTCCAAATCTATTCAGGATTGGGAGCTTCTTGTTAGTTCACAGAAGGGCAGAATTCTGATGGCTTTGCATTCTACTTTTATGTCAGTAACAAGAAAAATGCACAGAAGACAGCAGCATGTTTTTTTGCAATTAGGTGAACAACCAAATTATAATGCTACAACTTGTTGTAAGTTATCTACCTTTTTGTAGAATGGAGGGGGCGAGGATTAAACATGAGTGGAATGTTAAAGGGGAAGATCTGTTTTAGTAGTATAATAAGAGAAAAAAGTCAGTACTAAAGTGTCGATTCATTTGGCATATCCGATTGGATAGCAAATAAAACAGGATGAGGACAATAATGTTTGCACCTCTATTCACAATAACTATTTAGTAGTTGATGTTGTTCAAGGCGATTTATTCTGTTAGTGTTGTGGTAATAAATTACTATGTAAATCACTAAGTAATTTATATTAAAATATGTTTTTATTAATGCCATTAGTAGAGTAATTCTTTTTTAACTAATTTAACTGTTTATTTTTGTCTAGATTTATGTTTGGCGATACCCGAACCTTTATAGGTGGAGCAAGATTGACACTAAAACTACATTACAAAGCTCCAGGTTATAAGGTCCTTTAATAAAGTGACTCTTAGCACATTAAAATTGTGGCATAATATTGATATTCAATTAGATTTAGAATAATGATATACTTGAAAAAAGTCACGTTACAGAATTAGGGGGGGTTGCATCACCTCAAGGCACACATTTTGTCAACCTTTCATATTTTTACAAATATGTTAAGTTTAATTGCTTCATAACATGTTAATCTTGAAACTCTGAAAAGTTAAATACAAATCTCCATGTAATAAAGATTTGGCATTGATTTATATGAAGAACACACAAAATTTGCCCGCGAAATTTACCATTAATTCCTATAGTAACTTTTAATTCTGTAAAAAAATAATAACTTTAAAACAGAATGTCCTATTTTGAAAAAGTAAACTGTTTTGTCTTAATCTGATGTAGGCCTACTTCTTTAAGATGATATGTTTTTTAACCTAGATAATTCATTTTGAAATTTTTGTTAAAGTCCCTTACACAACACTGTGCGTACGTGGTATGTGGCCTGACCGACTGAAAGGAGATTGTTTATATTATTGTTTTGAGTTTATATATAACTCAATGCAACAAGCCTGCCCGTTGGTTGAGGCCACACTGGAGGTGGGGGTGGTGGTGGTTGGGGGAGGTGGAGGTGGTTGGGGGAGGGCTGACTATCAGCCCAGGAATCAATCAAAGGGTTGATTTTAAATATAGCTAATCCAATTTCTGAATTAATTTCAGGCTTGAGTTTTTATTTTTTATTATTTTTACGGTCGCTTTGCTAAATCTAAAAAAGCACATTTTTATTCCATGTCAACAACTGATTGGAAAGATTCTCGTCAACTGGCTCGCCTCCATTAAGTAGAAATCTAGATCTAGGGCAGGGGTCGGCAACCTTTTGAGACGGGAGAGCCAAAAGTTACAATTTACAAAATTTTCCAGTTTTAAAGAGCCACTAACATTTTTATTTCTAGATTATGATATTTGATTAGGATTGTACATATGTAGATTCTATACATATATATATATATATATATATATATATATATATATATATATATATATAGCTTTCAATACGAAATAATATTTGTTCTAATAAAAACATACACGTTTCTAACAAAAAATATTAAGGTATTTTAACTAGCTCTGCAAGAATGATAAAATCATTAATCAAATTGTATAAATATAACTAAATATAATTATTTTAAAATATTTACAATAGTTTGGCCTTGCATGCCTTTTAAAAGTTTGTTTAAACCTAGCTCATAAGTTGGTTTTAGTTTCAAGCACGCCTCTAGATTTTTATTTGTTAGTTGGTTTCTTAATTTTTATTATATTCATGCAAGAAAACGCTTGCTCGCGTGAATATGTGGACCCGAAGATTGTCAGCACTCCAAATGCCAACTTCTTTACCATGCGTCACATAATAGTGTCCCAACTTGTGGCATTTCTTTTAGAGATGTCTACTTGTGCAGCGAAACGTGCATATTTTACTGGACCTCAAACTCCTCTCATAAGTTGCTCTTAAAATCTGTGAACCTACCACTCCAAATAATGTTTGGTTTTTCAAATCCAGCAATTGCATTTGAAGCGAGCCAGCATCAATTCCAAATAGCTCAAAGTTAATTAACCTCATTTGTTTTTGTGATGAGAGATTCTACTATGAACGTCAGAGTACTTTCATTTGTTTTGAATTGCTCAAATCTTTAAGTGAATCCAACCTTCATTGTGTTTATTGTAATGCTGAAGTAATTCAAGTTAATAGTAGCATTGGTTACATCATGATATTTTTTTTGAGATTTTTCAAAATTAAATAATTTATCGCTCTCCGTGTCTTCAAAGAAACAAAAAAAAAAAATATTTTTTTAACAATCCACTTCTTGGTTTTCCTTTCCTTGCAGTTTTACATTTAGCACTCTTAGTTTCTTTGTGATATCCATCATGAAGTTAAATGTTTCAATTTGGGATGAACAAGTACATTGAAAATAGGGAGTAACTAAACATTCTAATATAATAGCGAGTGTTTATTGTTTATATTTATAATTATACGTTCAACGCCGAGTGTTGCAAAAAAAAAAATTATGACTTTTATTAATTTTAAAAATAAAATATAAAAAATTATTAATATTTGTGCATGGAGCTGAAGAGCCGCATCTTAACATCAAAAGAGCCGCATGCGGCTCGCGAGCCGCAGGTTGCCGACCCCTGATCTAGGGTAATCTAACGATTTAGGCATGCCCGCAACTAGTAATGTGAAAAACAGATAACTTCTTAAATTTTAATAAATACTAGAATACCCGTCATCCCTTGGATAACTGTGGGTTTCGGGGGTCATCCATCAAAAAACATCACGTCTGTCACTCAGAGGCATAGCGAGCCTTCCCGGCGCCCGGGGACAAACTTTTCGATTTTAACCCCCCCCCCCCCCAAGATTTCGATTTTCAAACCCCCCCCCCCTCAAACTTTTGATGTGCACCCCCTCCCCCCCCCCCCCCCCCCACTCAAACTTTCGATTTGAACCCCCCTCAACCTTTCAATTTATTTTTCCAAACCATTTTGGCGCCCCAACATACGTCCCCCCGCCCCCCCCCCCTTCACCTCCCCCCGCCTCCCCTTCCCCCCCCGCCTCCCCTCCCCCCCCCCCGCCTCCCCTTCTCCCCCCCCCCCCGCCCGCCCCCCCCCCTCCTCGCTACGCTACTGCAGTGTCACTTATCGTCACAAAAACAGAGCCCACATTCAAAAATATGTTTCTTATCTTTTAAAAACACCGAAAACACCGATTTCGGACTATCCCTTCATATACTGACGTCACATGTGACCTACTCAACTCTACTTCACCTGCCCAGTGTCCCGCCAAGTCTCAGACAACATGTTTTTATCGTTTAAAAAACGATTCCAGCCGAGCATGTCTCTGACCACACTATCCTTTCATATGGTTAGGACAAAGAAACAGATGAACTCTACTTCACCTGCCCTGTATCCTGCCAAGTTCAGATAGGCAACTTTATCATTAACATCTAAAAAAAAAAAATTGAAAAAAAATATTATTGACATATTGGTCTAGAACCTGTACCACTCGCATGAGAGCGGACTACGCTACAAACTTAGCTATTTACTCGTGACGTCACAAATGAATTTTTATACTATACTTTGATGCAACTTGATTTCGAGCGTCTAGTCTAGAAGTAGTAACTTTCAAATTAAATTTTATCTTAAATTAGCCAAACAAAGATTTATATAAAATAATTAAGGCCTGAAATAGATTCTAGATGTATTAAGGCCTGAAATAGATTCTAGATGTAGAATTTACATTAAGTCTAGATTTAGAATTTACATTGAGTTTAGTGACCTAGATCTAGATCTAGGCTAGATTCATAAATTTCCTTCGACAGCTGATCTTTAGATCTAGAGAAATTTATTGTAAAACTAAATGAAAAAAGACAGTTGAAAATTGATATAAGTGTT